ATGTGAGAGATCAGCTGCTGCGCATAAGTAAGAGAGCACTTAGATGCATATTTGAGCATGACACATTCACGCGGACATCATACTTGCTTGAGCGATACCACATAATTAGCTTAGACAAAAGATATCATACTAAGTCCATATTCTTCGTGTTCCGTTGCATCCACAATATCTGCAGTTCACTCCTCTCTGACATGTTCTCCCTTCGCCGTGACTGCGCTCACACAGACAGAGTAACCCGCGGCCAAGTCAATTATTCCCTTTCCTTACCCATTGTGCAAGCTCAAGCTGGATACAGATCTATTTCATTCCTTGGTGCTGACCGCTTTAATGCGCTTCCCGAATCCCTTCGCACAAATCATATCCCCAATTCATTTCGCCAGGAACTTAACAATTTCATTCATCTTGGGCACCCTGTAAGAAGACCTCAGGGTCTGTTGGGAATGCCCAAGTAAAATAATAAAATACAAATACAATACAAATAGCTGTGGGCGGCGACCAATCTCCTTGTTGCCAAACTCTTGAGGAGGACATCGGGGCCAAGAATGTGGAGGGCGCGTCTCTGCACTTGATCGAGAAGGAGAAGATGGCTTGGAGCTTCTCCCATCTATACCAATGGCGCATGCTCTAGGACTGGCCTCACAAAACCTCTGTAGACGGTTCGTTTACCAGCACCATCGAGTACGCGAGCAGCTTTGCGCAGGAAGCCCAAGCGAGAATTCGCCTTGAAGTTGAGTGCTGTGTTGTGGAGGTGGGTCTTGAAGGAGAGGCCCGAGTCAAATGTGATGCCGAGGAGTTTTACCTCTGATAGCTCAGACACAGTGTGATCGCCAAACGTGAGGTCCATGATAACATTAGGCCACCTGTGCCGCTGATGGGCTATAGTCATGAGCTGTGACTTTGTGGGCTCAAGCCTGATCCGCCACTTCTTGCCCCAGTCATGGAGCGCATCCAGGGTGCCTTGTAAGCTTTTCTTACTGTTTGGGAGCAGTTCCGGTGATCCAATACAGGTGTAGACCGTTGTATTTCCGGAACAGACTCTCATGCGGCACTAATACTGTTTATGAAGTGCTATTGGAATTGTGTGTTGCTCCCTATGTGGGAGCTTGCGCTATTCCTGCCGACTTGAATTTTCACTTGACTGACTCACGACTGCCATCCAGAGCACACGAGAAGTCCATCGAACCTTCCGCTCACACATTTCCTCAAGTATTACCGAAGTCGCACCAACCTCTTCTTCACATTGCTGTACCCGGCGCGCGCTTGCGAATTAGATGGTTTGGAGGCAACAGCGTTGTGAATGGCCAATGGTTCTCAGCGCTTGTTCAGTACCTCCATGAGCGACACTGACTCACGCTGCTCTCTGGTGTTCACGAGGTGTTTGTCGCCCTGGAAACGGAGCGTCTCTGTAAGTTTGTATCCCTGATGATATTCGTGCCTGGAGAGCACTATGTAATTGGTGCTCTTCAGGCACAATCTTCCTTAGCCTACTCAAGCTCAACTGATGAGGGGTGAATTCCCCGAAACACTGTGTATTGAGCAGGGGGTGGTGCTTTGTTGCAGGTTTGCCGAGTGGAAGGTTTTATGGACTTCTCGTGTGCTCTGGATGGCAGTCGTGAGTCAGTCAAGTGAGAATTCAAGTCGGCAGGAACAGCGCAAGCTCCCACGAAGGGAGCAACACACAATTCCCCAAGTATCGCCGAAGTCACACCAACCTCTTCTTCACAATGAAGCACTGTATTGAAAATCCATGATAATGTGATCCGAAAGATGATTGAAGAAAAATCCAAAGTCAAACGCAGGCAAATATTAGCAGTCACTACTATCAAAGCAGATCGATATTTGCAATAGCGCAACTTGGAAAGCCGGCTAAAATTCCGGACCATCCCTACTTGTAAAGTAGGTCGATAACACACAATGAAGTACTATTACTGACAGTATTTCGCCCGGTATCACCAGGGAGTGGGGAGGGGTTGCCCTGGTGATGCTCAATGGGCGAAATATTTTCAGTACTTCTTTATTCGTTTTATGCAGCTGAGACCCTGCTCCGGGAATGGAGGTGTTGGCAATTGTAGTTGCAATCACACTTATTTACAAGTAGATAAGGACACAAGAGAGATTGGAAGCTTTGTAACAACTCTGAGTTTCACGTATTACTACGATCATCAAGCAATTAGGTCAAGTACTTGTAGATAACGAACAAACTTAATGCACCCTACCAGGAACAGCGTCGCATCATTTCCACAACCATGTGGCGCAAAGTGTGCGAGGGCCTTTGCCAAGGCTCTCCACTTTTTGAAAAATCAATTCCGATCGCGGTGCAAACGGTATTCTTTATCACAGTTTGCAACTACCGGTACCTTCTCCGGACACCTGACTCCATCACAGGGTCATTGGAAGACACAATCAAGTCATGCCAGTTTGAGATTCGTTCGTGACTCTCTGACGTACACAAATCGCAGTGCCCACTACAATTACAATCAAGAGTATTATAAGCTCCCACTACTCTTGGTGCAATGAAACAAAAGCGCCCCACGGTTACGATTAGGGCTGAAAGGAATATTCGAATATTCGATTGATATTCGTTAGGAACCCGATAGAAGGAATATTTCCCCTATAGAATATTCGTTCGTTTTGACACGTGCGCACACTCTGCTCCTGTCGATCTATTTGTAGTAAATCTTGAACGGATGGAGTAATATGTGCATGTGTTATGTGGTGAGAAAGGGGACTATGACTCACAGGAGTAGTGGACATGACTCCACTAGATATCTACTTGGTATAGAACAACTGGGGACTAGCCAAACTCTTTCTAAGATTCTTTTGGTATACATGTAGAATATTGGATTCATTTACAAAAAAATCGATTTAGGTCCTATTAATTTTATATAATTGCTTCGACCTTAGAAATAATTCAGCATTTTGAGAAAATATTCGTTATTCGTTCGTTATGGATGAGTATTCGTTCGTTTGTGAAATAGAATATTCGTTGCAGCCCTAGTTACGATTGCCCGCGCAGTATTAATGTTTCCTATACGGGCATCTTGGACAATCCTTAGATTCATCGCAGTAGGAAGGTGAGTTAAATTGAAAGTTAACTTTTAAACTCTCCTTCCACATTCACTCAATCTCTCTCATTCTCTTTCTCACTCTCTCTCTATATATATATCTACCTATCTATTTACATGTACCTCTCTCTTTCTCACTCTCTCTCTCTCATCAACTCTCTCTCTCTCCCTCCCTCCGTCCCTCTCTCTCTCTCTCTCTCTCTCTCTCTCTCTCTCTCTCTCTCTCCCTCCCTCCGTCCCTCTCTCTCTCTCTCTCTCTCTCTCTCTCTCTCTCTCTCTCATCAGCTCTCTCTCCCTCCCTCCGTCTCTCTCTCTCTCTCTCTCTCTCTCTCTCTCTCTCTCTCTCTCTCTTTCTCTCTCTCTCTCTCGCTCTCTCTCTCTTCTCTCTCTCTCTCTCTCTCTCTCTCTCTCTCTCTCTCTCTCTCTCTCTCTCTCTCCCTCTCTCTCTCTGTCTCTCTCTCTCTCTCTGTCTCTCTCTCTCTGTCTCTGTCTCTCTCTCTCTCTCTCTCTCTCTCTCTCTCTCTCTCTCTCTCTCTCTCTCTCTCTCTCTCTCTCTCTCTCTCTCTTTCTCTCACTGACTCACTCACTCACTGAGTAACTCACTAACACGCAGTGACTCACTCACTGATCCCCCTTTCGTTTAGCTGCATGGTATCTGTGTTCGTTTTGGTTCTGGAGAAGTAAATGCACCGTAAACCGGTCTATACCACTGGCCACTTTACTGCAAGTACAATGCACTCCAGTCGGCTAGTGGAGGCGTGACGATTACGCTGGCCAGGCATTTTGAGAGTAGAAGTCTAGTAGAAATGTATCAATAAGCACGAGGCGAGAAAAGTGGGCAAGCGATGGATCTAACCAAGAGCACATAACCACTCGGGGAACATACAACCACCTCCTTGGTGTTATGTAATCTCGCTATAATCTAAAGGTGACAGGATTTCGGGGGTTGGTAACTTCGATCCAAACAAAAAGTGGAGATTTTATCTGCTTCACGCTAATAGATTCCCCTTCCGCCTGAATGAGAAAAGGAAGAAAAACTAGGGGCAAAGGACAAATGAGACCAACATTCACCTAAGCATCCTCTTCGCATATCTCGAGCCAAAGCAAAGGCTCCGACTTGGTCAGGAAGATTTGTTGAAAGGGATAACTTGTAGGTTCGACGGAGGCTGTGTTCTTTTTTTTTAAGCTAAGGCCCAAGGACACTCGTACAGTAGCAGAATTTACGCTTGAAGGCTCCCTGCGGCCCTGCTGAGTAACAGGAAGCCTTTACGTGCTTAGTGCGATGGGCTGCAGTGGGAACCGGGTACTTGGCTCGCTTCATCGGCCAACTGTATGGCCATGACACAACAGATTGGAACTAAAACGTGTGCAGTGAAAGTAACACGTTAGCTTGGTGTACATGTTCATGTGCACACGACGTTCATGTGTCATGCACGTCCATAGCTAGCCTTTGCCAATTGGCTTTGGCTTCGATCATATGGGGGATCAGGGTGTACATAATAATTATGCATGGGTCTAGTTCGTAGTACAAAGTGTACAGGTCACCTTCTCTGATAGTGATGCACTATGTGGTTATTCGCCATTGCTGCTCCATGCCCATGGAGTTGCCATGCAGCGGCGAGCGGAGTAAATCCTTTGCCCCTGTCAGGGACAAGAATCATGAAGTCGATGAGTATGCCGAGATGGAGATCACTAATCCGCACACTATACGTACATGTCCATGTCCCATCACCGATGCTACTACTAGTACTACATCTAGGTCTGTGCACACACATCCAATTACATGTAGATACTCATAATCGAAAATAATAGAATACCGCGCGGGTACACCTAAGCAAAGTGTTCATTATGTCCCTGGCATTGGCCGTTAGATTTCTCCGGCCAGACAGTATTACGCGCTGTTGCGCGATTTTTACGTGCGCACATAAGCGAAACATCGACCGAGCGACCCGTGCGGACGTCTGCAAGCAGTGAAACATTGCTGAGAGCATCATTGGACGGAACGCACCGGCAAGACAGCGAGTCAAGCGATTATCGCGCTGATCTGCTGACAGTTGCGGCTCTGATGAGCTGACCATTTCTCTTTGCGCGGCCCAGCGGGAATTCACAAGGGTGGGTTGAAGGGCTGAACACCAAGATCAGAAGTTGTTGTGGATTGCACGCTGGTGGGCCATCGAATTGAAGACCGTGGTGTGTATGCGTGTGTGGATGGGTGCAGATCGGTGTGCGGAACGGCTCAAAAGTTCCCTTGCAGTTGGGATGTTAGCGATTCCGTTCGCAGCTTGTAAGCAACCGCAGGTTCAGTTTCAGTTTCTATCGCAGTGTGTGTGACCAGCGGCAGCTGCATCAGAAATCCATATCCGGAATTTGAACGACAACAGTGCTTGCTGATTGATTGCTAATTCGAAGAGGAAAGCTTTCTGATTCCCACATGGATATCGCTACTGTCGAGTAGGCAATGACGTCTTCCGCTTTCCTCATCCCCAGAGATTCGGTAAGTGCGACGGAATTTGATCTCGCCGTGTGAATACGTCTGCGCGTGTGCGCGAGTGTAGGTGTTGCGTATGTGAGTATCGAGTCCAGGCTCCATGAAACTACATGTATAAGTAGCTCCAGTAACTTGCCAAAGCATTGCCTCGTTTTGTGAGTAGCTACATATACTAGCTAGCTAGTCTGGGTACGTGTCTATTGAATACATTCTCTGCAAGCGGAGATGATGAAGCAGTCATTGAAGTAAGCAGCGTCCAGCCATAGATTAGAGTTAGACCAATGAATGGCAGAAACACGGACTGTGGCGGGACGACACGACTAAAACACTAAACGGAAAGTAAAGGAAAGAGTTATGTCACGAGTACATCAAATTACCGTACGATCCGCGAGGGAACCTGACCCGCTACGGCTGTGTACGAGTCGTATTGTCCAGGATAAAATTATTTTTGTAAACATTCGTCATCCACCATCGTTGTGCTTTTGAAATGTATACTTGTCTTACTACATGTACATGCACATAGCGAATATCCGGAATTTGGGTCACTTGTGTGTCGTCAGACGAATTTCTCCATAAAGTGGTGAAAACCGCCACTGCGTTCAAACGTCCGAAACCCTACTATTTTACGCTGATGCCACCTCCATGGGTGGACAATTGCACGTAATCCACGATCCGCGGCCTGCTTCATGTATTCCCAACTCCACACGACCACGCTCCAGTGTGGCACCCTTTTACGGACGTCTCCAGCAAACGACTGAAATCATAGTGCTGTACATGATGTAGACATAGATTGTAGAATGATAGAAACCCTCCGCTTCTCAACCCATGGTACATGTATGTAATTGCGACCTTACACAAAGCGGCAAGCATGGGATGGCCGACACCCTTTGAATGTCCAAGTGGCTGATAAGATGACTCCGGAGCGGAGGGAGCTTAGACAAATCACTAGAGCAAAGTCAAGAAAGTCGTGAAAGAATTTCCAATCCAGAAGGGCTTATATTTTATTCATAAGAAGAAAAGAGGACCAAAGAGCTACAAGTTACCCTATAATATCCACTAACACCACCAATTACTTTACAATCAGCTCATGCGATAACATCGCACGACACTGACCGACGGTGCTGATGTTCAGCTTTCCAGCTTGGAAGGTTCTAAGTTATAGAAATAATAACATATGAGGGGAAGGTTTTTTTAACGTTTCTTCGCTCCTGTTCGGGTTGTTCAGACTTCGGAAATGAAAATTATATCCCCAAACGATAGGTGTACCAATATTATGATATCATCATTATCAGTTCTATCACACTTATCAACCGTCCTTATTGGCGTCACGCCATCGTGGGATAAAAGAATAATATTATTATCATTCCCATCCCAAACAGTTGGGAGAATAATCGTGTGACTGTCCAATTAATTCCGACTGGCGACTGGTGTGTCAGAAGTGGGTTCATGACGATACTAGTATGTACTAGTATGTGACACTGGTCGGCCCTCCATGGTGCAGCGGATGTCTCAGCTCGCGGTGGGCTACCTTTCAAGGTTGTGGACAGAGTTCTTGTTGCTAGTCTTAAAAGTAACGCTTCAAGGTTTGTGGCAGTGAAATCAGGCCTGCGAACCGCGCGGACAGGCCCCTGAGAAGAATGCTCCTAGTACGTGAACTGGATACTAGCACGCCTGGATGGTTCACATGGATCGAGCCATTCTACCTTCATTGTAAGCGTATTAGGAATGGGGGGGGGGGGGGCAATACAATCCCGTTTTATAAAATCTGTGCCCTTTTCGAAGCATTTTACGATCAATATTACTGGTACCCCACCAAAGGACATGTGATTTGTATTATAATAAATCGCTGCATCGCACTGATGAAAAGGATTCGTGCACAATGTCTCCGTTCGTCGTGACTCTCTGTGCTCCTGGGCAAGTGTCGTCGGGTGTACATGTACACCTACATGTACGTGATTGTATAATACTAGTATTATGTGCATGCGCCTCTTTCACACGCGCGCCCCTTGCAATACCGGCATGCTAATACTTCCTGTGATGCTGCATAATCAATGATTGGCATTAGGCGGCCCCTGGTAGGCCACCAAATGTTCAAAATACCTGTTTGCAACGCGATGAAACAGTGCTTGCAACGCTGATGACACTCCCATTCCCGTCAAATGCCCTCTGGTCGTTATCAAGCACTATAATAATTATACCCACTGTTATCGACTCACGTAGGATATCCCACCGATAGGCGATGGGCTTTGGGAAGTCCTGAAATCGCGTCTTCCATATTATCCATACCGTGTTTCCGCGCATATAAAGCCATGGCGTTATATCCGAATATAAGGCCACCCTCACTTATAAAGCCATGGCGTTATAAGTGAACAAAATTCAATGTGGAGGAAGTAGCATCTGGCGTTAAAGGTGAGTTCAATTCTTTCAGTGAACCTACAGCAGCGGTGATTCTCCCTGCATGTACCCATCCCCACTGTCACATGCCATACCGCCACCACACCTTCACACAAGGTTGTATGCCACCTTGTACACAATAGGTTCACAATTTGAAATTTTCAGGGAAAATTGAAAAAACATGGATGCTCGACATGAAAGTGCAACGGCACCATACGAGTACTCGAAGTTCATACTCTGCCGTTTTTGCATGTACGCGTCTCTCACTTTTAGCGCCATGGCGTTAAAACCGAGGCTATTTTCTCCCAAAATTTGGTCCAAAACAGCGATGTTTCACCTATATTGAACGCCATGGCTTTATATGCGCGGAAATACGGTACAAATGGGGAGAGGAGTGGGATTCTCATTTCTGTCTACGCATGACTACACACCGATGGTGGGCAAAGCAATCGTCTACTTAGGTGGTGCTCGGATTCGCCATTCTTGCCACATTTCCGAAGCGGCAGCGGTGGCGGAAATAGGCCGTTTTCAGTTTGTAGATCTGAGGACCCGATTTGTCCCAGCGTTGCTGCCGACGACGGGTAGATGGGTTCACGCATGCATAATCACCAGCCCGCCGTGCGTGACGATCCCATCGTGGGAACAGGTATTTGACAAGTAGCCCGTGTTCACAGCCAGTTGCAGGAACTAAAGTAACGTGTCAGCTTCGCCACGCTCGCCCCACCGCATCTTGTACAGGCCCGACATCATCGAGAGAACATTGTTGTAAACGTTGCTCGTTCATATTTAAGTTCTCAAAAAACAATTTGCTAAGGTCTCGGGGGGAAATGAAGGGTTAAACCCGTTCTACGGAGCTGCGGGCGAAATTGTCGGTTACATTGGCGGGACGCCGTCTCTGATGTGACGGCCTGCAAATCGCTGTCGAACTCTGCATGACATTGACTAGCGCCGCTACATTGAAGCTTCACCGCCTGGTACGGCAAGGTTTACTCGTGCCTCGCCCATGAAAATATGCTGTAAAATGGAAAGTAATGTTTCAAGACGCGTACATGAATATATGTGCAGGTTGTAGACAGCTGAGCGTACTGGCAAAGACATGGCGTGAAGCTAGTCGAGGGAGCCCTGCACAAGCCCGTAGTGGTGTAGACGGCAGGAGCGGGAAACGACGAGCATCCATGCGTCTCCTACACGACTTTCGTTCGACGCGACCAAGTAATAGTTCTCCTTCCGGGAAGACGATAACAGAATGCTCCACGTTGACATTCTTCCTAACATGTGGATGTTCGCAATGCAGCCTCTTATCGTCGCAGCTCCTGCTCACTTGTCCATACTTTGCCAGTGGGTAACGCCAAGTCAGATTCAGCGACACACGTAGGACGTCAGCCGACAACAACAAAAAAACGTACAATTAAGCCTATCAAAATACTCCGTTCCCAACTCCCTCAAACGTATGTGATTTGTACGAAAACATCTGACCCTCGCAGGCGCGTGCACCGTATGAGTTTTTTGGTGTCTGGAAACCACCTTTTTTCGGGCAATCTTGCCAAAGGAAAAGCGTGCCTACGCTCGTACTGGATTGGTTATCCTGCATACGCGTCTATCGACGGGCAGTTTGCAGTACAGTGACTATGTCCTTATTTCGAAGTGAGAGAGAGTTGCTTTGCATGCAGTTCGAAATACAATATTCTCTCTTTCTTCAGTGGAGAGTATCCACAGAGAGATCGATCTCTAGCTCTGGTTCGCTCCTGGATTGGCGGTGACGTTTAAGAAATCCGTTTTGTCTCGAAATTCGAGTCAAGCACGCGCGATGCAAGTCAGTTCAAGGATATGATTGACGACATCTCCTTCCAAACTGTTGACTCAAATCAAGATGACAGCCTTTCGTTCTCGCTCATGTGCGCAGCAGAGATGTTCGTCAAAAACGTTGTCGACTGGAAGACGTAAAAATGTGCGTCCATGATCCACTTGCGCTGCTTCAGAACGAAGCGCAGCTCCGGCCGCGACTCAAGGGCTCGGGGCTTCGCTTTTCTCCCGCGAGCTTCCATCGAAGCAAGGTCCATAACTCTTTATTGAACTCATGTGGAACATTGCCAATACATGCCGAAAACTTCGTCATAAGAACAGAAAGAAAGAAACGTCGAAATAAGCAGTGTTTTGATGAAACAAACATGCCTGCATGGAGTGGATTAGTGAAGTACCATAGACATAGTGTTATACTTATAGACTGTAGTGTATACAATTCATGTAGCCTGGGCGGCTAGGCCTATAAACCTTTTACGGGTTTAATATGACAAACATGTACAGTGTATATGAGTACATTATAAATTTGCACCGTCTTTGCAAATACTTTTTGAAGTGCTGGTATGTAGAAGGTAACCCGTGCCCGTTTTTTCCTGCTACCGGTTATACATGTACATGTACAATGTAGATCTACCAACATTTCCAAGTAACATCGTACCCTCCCTCCATTCCTCATTACTCTTATTTCTGTCCTTTCTACCCCTGTACCTGGTGCCCTCTCAGACGCGTTTGTGCCGGCATGATCTGATGATAGCAGTCGGACGAGCCCCGCATCTCATCAGCACCAGTGTTCATTGGTGCCCTGCACCCCTGATCTTGAGTCTCCCCCCCCCCCCCTAGTCTCCTCCCTAGCCCTCGCCGTTATCTCCGACGGGATGTTCGGGGGATGCGCATGCGCATGTGCACAAATACATGCTTATACAATGGGTCTCCAGAAAAAAATTACCAACTCTAGAAACCCCCCTTTCAAGACTCGGTGCACGCCACTGCCTCGACCAATGTTTTTGGCAATTGGTTTCTATGCCTAAATAAGTTGAGCGCAGTCCATCTAATCACAGTCTCCGGTGAATAAACCACGTGACTAATCTCCGATCTCTTCACCAAGTGTCTAAACTTATTGGTATAACCAAAATAGGCTCTATTGAAATCCTGGCTGTACTTTCCACTGGATCGGTTGTGGTACGGCTCTCCTTGAATTTTGGTGCCTGACTCGATGATTGCACCTTTGACAGGGAGACTTCTGGTCGGTTCAGTTAGTACACGGGCGCTTCGTGTCCATTACGCATCTAACTACGTCTTGAAACCTTATTTTAAGCTATGGTCTTGTCGCCACTGGTTTCTTACTGTGCGGCTGTATTTGCATTGAGCGGATACTGGTATGTAGATCTACAATCACCGTGTGACATTCAGAGCTAGGTGTGGTAAGTTGTTGTTGTTCGCAGTGATTTGAACCAGGGCCGGAGTTGTGAACGCTTTCACGACTTCCTGATTTGAACATTAGAGCTAGAGTTGCAACCTTGAAGACAAGTCATGATGAAATCAGTTCACGAGTACAAAACCGAGCGCAGCTACATGTAGCCATGTCTAGTCGTGCTGCCAGTATGCAGTCCCATGCCGTGCCAGTTGTCGCTTTGCAGCGTGCTAGTCACAGGGTACCACTGCAGGAGATGGTCGAATATCAAGTTTAATACCTAGAGCGACAACAGGCACAACAGGCAATCTCACCGCGATGAATTCCCCTCATTGGCCAATATCAACAAATAAAATTTCCTCGCGTCTCTCTCTCTCTCTCTCTCTCTCTCTTTCTCTCTCTCTCTCTCTCTCTCTCTCTCTCTCTCTCTCTCTCTCTTTTTCTCCCTCTCTGGCGTTTCCACCTATCCCTTGTTCATGACATTAGCCGGTTAGCCGAATCGGGTCATGGTACTGCTTCGATATCTTCTCCACTAACGAATCGTCCCGGCTCATGATTAACATCTTACTGGAAGAATCTAGGCTCGGCCAAAACTTGGTGATGCCCATAAGAGGAAGAACCCAGCGAAACGGACCAAGGCCCTCCGGTTACAAGTGACACTCGCCCTCTGCACACGCGGTCAGCCGCGTGCTTGTCTTTCGATAATTGACAGGGTGCATGCGGAGAGCATTTCCCGTTGGTCTTTTTTCTGTAGTCTGTAGGACAACAGGAGGGTCCATACCACAAGCGCAATGTAGTTTATCGTCTTGTTCAAGACGTTATTCCAGCGCCCACATGGCATATTTTTCAAAATATCAGCAATGCCATCCAGTGACGTGATAGAAGCCTGGCCCTAAATCAAATCACACGGAACGTAATTGTGGTCCAGTATAGTAGCGACGCAAACCAACCTGATCTGAGCGGAGGTCAGTGTCGCTCCCTTTGCGATCCCCCCCCCCCCCCCTCCCAGCCCGCGCCCAGTCATTCTGTAGCTAACACACCAGGACGGTCAGTCGTTCCTATTTGTTACAGCATCTCAAGACTCAGAGGAAACACCAGCCAATGTGAAGAGAGTGAGTGATAGCCAACCACGGCCATACATGTAAGACACTAAAGGTTAGGAGGGTACACGAATGAGTAGCAACAGCAACAACAACTCCGTAAAGAAAGAGAATGTCAGTAGTCAATCAAGAGCAACAGAGATGCAAAGGACGTGTGGATAGATAATGAGCTACATTGTATATGTATGTGGTAGTAAATGTATAAGGGATGGCATGGTATTCTCTGTGTACAACTCTATCACTATCAGTCGGTGGTGGCTTGTGGTGTCCTCGCACAGAACAATGGCACTCTTTGTGAGCAGGAGATGCAGCACAATCGGCATAATGCATCTGGACGATTGACTAAGTCAATTGCTGAACGCTGTAACCGGTCGCCTTCATTCGTCTTACAATCGGTGAATGAAGCGATGTACATGTACATGACCAATGCACATCATTATTATTATCACGTGCAGTACATACATGTCATGTAGCTTGTGTGGTGCGGTCGTCATGGTCACGGAGCACGCGCCATGCCACAGTATGGATACTCACTATCAAAGAGTAGATCTACTATTGTAGAAGAAGTGCAACAATAAAACAACAAGCAAGAGCGCGTGAAAACAAAGCCAAGTTGATACTATACTAGTAGTGGTCAATGATGACATTGTCTCTCCTTGTATTATTAATTTCATTGTTAGTCCCCTTGAATGTCATTGTCACATTGTGTTCAGTACAACGAGCCGTCCTGACTCCTGACTCCTGACTCCTGACTCCTGAGTGATGAGTGATGAGAGTTGCATTTCCATCAATGTCCATCGGGTGGGAAAAGGTCTTATTTGAGCCCTGTTTGTTTCCTGCAATATATTCCACTGCTTTATCTTAGTGTATGCAGCTATTACAGGTACATGTAGTTTTAAACGTATACACCATGCAGTCCACGCAGCCATGCAAGCAAGAAGACACTCCTCTAGTCTATCAGACGTGTTCTTTCCTTTCTCATCCAGATAGGATATCACAGGACAGTGGATGATGGAAAACCCGTTTTAAGTCGGCTATTCCTTTTTGTGTTTCTACCCCAGCAGTTTGCTCGCAAATAACACAGGCTTTCGTAACGCAAACACGTTACGTTGGTGTGTTTTACAATGTACCTCGCACCTTTCCTCCCGAAATGACTTGACACTTGGCACACTCACGACTGCCGTTCAGAGCACACGAGAAGTCCATCGAACCATCCACTCAGTAAATCGTTGAAAAACAAATTCACCACTCCCTTCTCATTACACATGGATTGTAACACACATCATCCGTTGAGCTTGAGTAGGCTGGGTGGGGGGGGGGGGGAGAAACTTGTGCCGCAGAAACTCTATTGCGCTCCGGCAGTCCATGCATCAAAAGTACATGCATATCACATTAGTCACGATGTCATTTCAGTCACCCTCCAGCTCCACTTCCACAGTTCCAGCGCGAAAATACATCGACTCTAACTACAGAAAGCAGCGCTAGCGTGATTTACCACATACTAGTACATGTACAATAATAATAATAGCGGTCGACGGAATAATAATTACAGCGATCAAAAGGAAGTATTTGAAATAATTTGAATCTTAGTGGCGAGACCTGGATTTTTTTCTACGGGTAACCCTTCTGAAATGACAACCATGGCGCTCCAAGGAGACGACGCTTAAAGTTCTCCTGATTCTGAAATTGAATCCGGTATCGAGGATATAGCTGTTTCGTTCCCAAGGGCAGAACAAGCTGGAATACCCAGAAAACGATCTGAAAACCTAAATCTCGTGATCATGATCTCTCATACCCGCCTGTTTCACATTCAAAAATTATTTCATCCAGATTGCTTGCTCCTCGTCCACTCAGCCAGGCCCTTCCGTTGGATCGTCGATGTTTACATTTGACGGGCCTGACATGGAGTCCCCGCCAAACTCCGACAGTAGTTCCGGCTGCAATCCCGAAGAGTTGGCAGCCGCCGCCTGCGACAACCTTGCGGCCAGCGAGGAGGCAAGCAGTGCGCCGGACACGGAGGCGGGAACGAGCGCACCGGCAGGCAGTGAGTCATCCGAGCCGGCATCAACGAAGGCCACGACAACACCACCAACAGCCAGCGCCAACAAATCAAAACAAAAAGGTAAGCCTGTGGCGTAGATCTACGTGGCGTAGGTCTGTAGGGGCAAGCTACATGTACATGTACGTGCTGTGTCCGCTGCTGCGTAACCGTTGTAGTTTTCCCTGGCACATGGTCGCTGTCCCCTGTACTGTATCATGGATGCATTTAGGTGATTCACACTGTATCTTTCATTCCTGGGTGCATCGGCTGGAAACGGTGGCCGGAAGCGGCTGCTGTCAAATATACTGGCCGCAAAGTCTTGCCTCAGTTTCCATCGCATAGAACAAACGCCTGTATGAAATTGATGTTGTTTTCTTTTGCTGGAGCAGGAAAATCCTTCAGCAGAGCCAGCACATCCAAGTCTGAAGCAATCAACCTTACCTTGCAATGGTATGTGCCAAGTAAAGAGCCCTGGCAGCATAATATTGATGCGCTGATAGCAAGACCACATGCAGACCTTCAGTATTCTATGAGAGCTGGCCCTTGAGATATTGAGAAATCGGTTATATTATCGTGTACAGTCATGAAGTTGAAGACACCACTGCAGCTGTACTTATGGTTGATAAATATGGTGGTAAAGACACACCTGTACAGTCATGGCGAAAGAAATCAGAACCGTGCGTCAAAAGTAGCACCGCTTTTCGATTTCATTTACATCAAGCACGGTCCAAACACCCATTCAAGGGCCACAGAGGCTATTGTTGTAATTGCTCTTAATGCGGCTTATATCACCATTACAATAATTATTGTGAGTTACGAAGTCTGAAGAAAATCTTGAACGGTCTCTGCTGGGATGACGGCTACACCTTAGCTCAGTGGTTAGAGCATCGCTGGCCTCAAGGGAAATTCCCTGGTTCGAATCCTGGTGGTGACAGTTATTTTTTGCTTCAGACTTTTCCCGTTTGTGTCTTTCCCTCCAACCAGTGAATATTACAAAAATCATTAAGCTATTGTAGTTAGTTGTTAGTTTCCTTTCAGTCTAGCTCTAACCACCTGCCGAGAAGAGGGTGAAAGAACTGGTCCAAATGTCTGAAACATTACCCGTGATCAAGGAGCCTAAAGTTACAACAGGAACAAAAAGAGCTCATGATTTGCCGTCTTGACATCTGTGGTGGGCATGCAAGGTCTTAGCTTATGTGTGATTGCAGTGGCAGGCTGAGCTATAGCAATGTGTCAACGAACAGCATGGGTGACTGTGTTTATTTGCTGCAGGCTGAGCGATAACTACGAGCAAATTGAGGGCATGTGCTTGCCACGCAGTGTTCTCTATACTCACTATCTAGACTTCTGCAAGAGCTCTGGACTGACGCCTGTCAGTGCTGCCAGCTTTGGAAAGGTAATTCACATCCAAGTCCTACACTTTCAAAAAAAAAATTGATCAATGATTTCTGCTGGGGCAAAATGGTTGAAGCAGGAGCAGGCTGTGAAACAATCTTTCACATGAGACGGTGAGTACATATAGTTGAAAAGGCCACGGCATGCATCATGACACTAGGGTAAGAGGATGATGGACAGGGCACAACCTTCTCTGTGACACTCACATGCACTGACATTTATTTTTTTATTTTTACAAAGACCACTTAATGCCAAACATGAGATGCAGCTAGGGGAAGCACGCACAACCTGAATCACATATTGGCTGAGTGGCCTGCATGCAAGCTCTCCCACCACTGGTAGTCTCCCATGGTAGCATGAGGCACGCACCCACATCACAACATTATGCAGGCGTGTAAAATCAGAGCTGAGAGCTGGGAATAGCACCTGTGCCAAGCAATGCGTTTGGCATTCTCATGATGATCCTCAGGAATTCGGCTGGCGAATCATATTCAGATATCCTGCGCATAGGATCTGTGGAGAGTGATTCTTTGAATTTCTTACCAGTGAGGAGGAAGGAAGGGGTTTAGCAAACAATGCCGCAGCTACTTCAAAGTAGTTCAGAGCATATATCTCCGTGGGTGTATAAGCAGTTGCCAGAGTGCTTCATGGTTTGCTCGCAGTATCCCTTCAGCACCACTTCCCCTACCCATGTCGGGCATACGGAGAGTTTAAATCCTATGTAGGTTCAACACTGCATGTTGGACTATTTAGAATGTCCGTTGTCAGTTGGCACAGAGGGTGGTGGCGTCCCTACGGGTGAAGCTAACTCAGCCTCCAGCCGAGTCTAACGTGAACCGTGATTTTTTTTGGTGGGCACAGTGTGCAAAAAATTCTTGCTGCATCCAGCAGAAAACAAGCTGATAACCGAATAACCATGGAAAGTAAACTGCCGCTGGTTTTTTTATGGTTCGTTTTCTTCTCTCACAGGTTATTCGACAGAAGTTCCCAAATTTGACAACACGGAGACTGGGCACGAGAGGCCAATCAAAGTAAGCTGCTTACCCAGCTGCATGCTGAAAACAACTCTTCAACTTGCGGGACTTAATCATACTGAAAACCGCTCTTGGATTTCCCTGAATTGAAAGTCATGCTGAAAACAACTCTTGAATTTCCCACCTGATCATTGTGCGTTAAACATCAGGAGCCTGCTACAATGTAGATTATTGCCACTCTGTTTGGATGCAAAGTAGTTGATAAATGGTGAAGAAGCCATAGCAGCATTTGGTAGAAATGAATATGAGCTTCTTATCATGCCTAGCCTAGCAATTCAAGAGGTGGCCTCGCAAAACACATGCAGGTCTCCTCAAAGGTAACTGATGCTTGTGACCTGTTACATACTGCTATAACGGTAAACATAGTGCAGGCACTAATGATGAATGTAATATATGGGCCGGGTCGCATGCTCCTCTTCGTGGGCTGAGAACTTTCACAAGACAACAGCAACTACAGTGCGGCATGCTTTGTACTTTCTATATGTAGACTCGGGTGGAGAGCCAAGGATTAATTTATAAGAAGAAAGAGAGGAGCAAGAGCTAGAGTTAGGTGTAGAGCGTCAGTACCATTGGTCAGTGTCGTGCGATGTTATCGCATGAGCTGACTGTAAAGTAACTGGTGGTGTTAGTGGATAATATGGCGTAACTTGTAGCTCTTTGGTCCTCTTTGTACAGTAAAACCTGTAACTAAAGACCTCCGTGACTAGCGACCAGCCTGGTACTACAGACCACTTCACCTGGCAAGGACGGTCTCACATACATACATACATGATTGTGCGGTGCAAACCTCTAGCTAAGGACCACCTGCCACTAAAGACCGCTTTCCCTGGCCCCAAGGGGTGTATGGTCGTTAGTCACAGGTTTTACTGTACTTTGTTCTCGGTATTAATAATTTACGTATTGAATTGTTGTTTCCTTCAGGTATCATTACTATGGTATAGGTATCAAGGAAACATCTCCCTATTACAACACAGTGTATTCTCGCAAAGGCCTGACACGTTTCTCTGCTACCTCTGGTAACACAACGCGGAGGGAGGTAAGAGCATAGACTGTGCAATGACACCACTGTGCATGTTACTTCAGTCTAGTGGCTACACACGGAGAGTTGGGTGTGGTCCTCGAAAGAGTGCTCAATGCACCGGGGTGCAGAGCTTCGTACAAAAAAAGAATAGACTGGGATACGGAGCTTGGGTTGGCTGTGACTCAGAGTTTCACGCCTGTGGCGATCATCAGACAGCAATGATTACAAAAACTCAATGAATGTTCTTGATATAGTGTGGTAAGGTGCTAGTGGAATCAGACAATTTAAGCGCAAATAAGGTCAAGCGGTGATTCTATGCATGTACTTGCAAGATCAGCGCCAGACGTCAGGTGTAATCCTAGTGTATGTGACTGGAGGTGTGAAGTTAGATAGGTAGAATTTGTTCTCATGTCTGCACTTGGCCACTAGCTACGATCTCGCTTGTTGATGTTCACCCTTCTGTCAGCATGCAAGATCTCCAGCTTCTCACGCAGACAGAGAGGGCAGCGCTTGGTGGCATTGGAGTATGCTACTTGTCTAGTGGCTATTATCGTTATACTTTTATTAGCACTTTTGCAATGTCAGCGGGTTTGGATACTTCGCTTGTGGCACTCAGGACAATAAACAAACAGAAGATACATGGATTCAGACGAAATAAATAGGGCAAGTTGCGCATTCAACACACACACGCTCACACTCACACATACACATACACACATCATCGGCTATGGTTCAGTACCCTTTTAAATTTGAACATTGAAAGTTGAATGCGCAAACTCACCCCACTTACTGCGTTCTTATCTTTCTTGTCTCTGTGGAAATTTTTTAAATACAGGGTGACAAAGTTTCTAGTAGCTGTGCATACTATTTCTAGTAGCTCCAACTGGACATAAATAGCAGCACCAACCCCTTCCGTATCTCAAATGTATTGATTCCAGTCCACCCAGCTGGCTTATCATCAATATTATGACTAGGATCACCATGCACTGCTCCTTTTCAAAAACAACTGTTCCTATCTTCTACGACTTTAAATTTGTTTTAATGTCCTTCAAAGTATTGGTTGTTGGACTGCAAACATTCTACCCTTTTGGGCCCCTTCCCCATGAAGGCGCATACCCATGTGAGCGACACGTGGGGTAGGGGGTGTACTATCACTGATCAGCCCCGTGTACTGTACATGGTGGAAGTTGATCCTTAAACTGCATCAGGAAATATAGTCGTTTTGACTTGTGTTCTTTTGAAACATGTGCATCGTGGACCCGAGTTTCCTGATTACCGATATCCAGATTGTGTGTTTGGGAGCCTGGTGTAGCATCTGTTGGCATGTTGTTCTCTATGCCGGCAGGGAGGGGAGGAGTGAGGTCGCGGTTGTGACTTTGAGGTTCGCGCACAACTAGGCGGTCATTGGACAACAGTACTGGTCTCTATCATGTGTATTGTTGTTTTCTATTGTCCAGTATGGAAACTCGCTCTACTCCCCATCGTCCAAGAGCGGAACACTTCTTCCCGAATTTCCCAGTATCAAGACTGTACAGTTCAGTAGCAGCGTGGTAGCGGCCAAGGTCGAGACGTTCCTGGTCATGTACCGGACGCACTGCCAGCGGATACTCGACACGGTGGTGCGAGCGTACTTCCTGGAGGTGAGAGAAGAGGTTAAGATGCACGTTCTATCTGACGTGACGCGAAAGCTCAGCTTGCGTTATTTGGCTAGCGCGTTGAAAAGCAACGCGAGTGACCTGCGGCTCATGTCGAAATTTGGAATTTTATGTGAAATTGCGCGTCACGTCAGAAATAACGTGCATCTTAACCTCTCTAAATACAGTCATGTTGAATTTGTCCCGTTCAACTCCCTCAAATACCGTAGAATCCCGCGGATAAGCCCACCCGCGTATAAGCCCATGCCCGCGCATAAGCCCAGGGTTTGTTCGAACATCACACAGCTTCATCGTACAAGCCCATGGGCCTAGGTCATACCGGGAGTCCGTAAATTATGGACTCTTGGCCATACCATGTACATGTACATGTACGTAGTACATGCACATTATAGTTTTTTTCGTACATTTCAGCACAATCATCGGTTGTTTTTGTTTGCACAGTGGTTTTCAGCAATGTACTTCTCACTTCCTTGATACTTTTCAATAGCACAACTTGGTGTCGGCGTATAAGCCCATGCCCGCGTATAAGCCCACCGAAATGTCCTTGTGAAACAGATAAGCCCATGGGCTTATCAGCGGGATTCTACGGTATGTTGCCACATGCAAAGACTCCACTGTAGCCATCCACTTTATCCATACATCTTCACAACACTCTCCAAACGGTCTCTGGGCTACACCAGTCACTGGAATAGATAAAAGTCATCTGAATCCCACTGATTGCCATAGGCCAGAGACCGTTTGGAGAAGTCTCTCAAACTACGTATGAATAGGTGTGATTTTACTTAGAATAGTAGAATAGTCTGATTAGTCTCCCATCATGCCCTCCTAGCGTACTACGAGTAGCAGTGACACAATTTCTACCAATACATGCTTAGATATCTACCATTCCATCACTCTATTGAACACCAGCATGATTACATTTTGCTTTCATGCAGATATCCAAAGTTTAGTAACTTACGTACTCGGATGGTGAGCCGAGGAAATATTAAATGGAAACGTGGAAAACTTGTGTGCCACCATTTTCCATGCTTCCATTAGCAACTTAACCGTGTCAAAATCCGAGATCGCAATGCGATGGTTTCATCAAAAATGCCTCGCTCTGCCTCCCATCTCATTGCAGGTTCAGGATTTTCTGATGCACTTCTGGCGGGGCATGCCAGCGCACCTGGTCTCTCTAATGGCATCGCCAGCCATCGTTGAGCTGGTGGCTATGTGTGACATCATCACATACCAGGTAGGTGTGACATCACATGCCAGGTAGGCGTGTTCAGCTGGCCTGAGACTCGGCAGCTGGACTTCACACATACACAGAATGCCATCGTCACCTGAGAGCTCAGGAAAATACAAACACAGGCCCACAAGGCTGATTCCCCTCACCCCCTCCCCCCCCCCCCCCCCCCCGCCCCCTTCCAACCTCAAAATCGTGTTTCAAAATTTACCATCCCAAGGCATGTCTACATGTTTATGGCTGTGCCATCAAGGGTTCTGTGAAATATTTTGCAGGAATCAAGAACTGAACCACAAGTCAGCTGCTAGTATATTATCCATTTGCGCTAAAGCTGTTTGAATTACTGGAACACAATTGCAATGCCTTTGTAACATAATTCAGCCGACGTCACTATTCAGTGTAGAGTGTATGTTCCACTAGATGCCTAGTAAATGGGAATGTGAAGAACGATATCAGTAGAGGGGACGGTTTCAAATAGGACACCGGTTGCAAACCGGAACGGACTCAATATTCACTTTCTCTCTTGGTATTTTGATTAGAAAACATATGTCACAGTGAGACTACGATGTGTTATACTCCGAGCCAAAATTTCATGGCTCTGCGATGACCTGAAGCGCCATATCAAGCAGGTGAGTTTTTGACGTGTTGCTTCGCACTGCGACTTGAGTTTTACGACTTTCGAAAAATCAACTTCTTGTCGCAGGTAAACAGCGGCTCGCCTCTCGCCAATAAAGCACCGCATACCAATCAAAACTAATGGAAGCACACACAAGGCTTATTGTTACTCTGTACTGGCCGTCGTGGAGCGATAGCAATTACCTAATTCCAGACCCAGAGTGAATTTGACGTGCACTCTAAAACGTGTCCGGTTTGGAGCCACCTCTGATTTGAACTTTTTTGAAGCGAAAAGTTGGGCAACTTGGAGGCAATGGGTCAACACAACGGAGTGGCTCAGTTCGATTGACTCGGGTCCCAGAGCAAACTTCAACATGCCAGTTTCCTTCCACAAACATATTTCGAGTGAAAAATCAACGCTGATGATCGGTTTGGGTCTATACAAATTTGGCTGTCAAAACGTCCCAGTTACGAGCCGTCCCCTCTACACTAAACTGGGATACATTGTATCTGAAGCAGGCGCTCTTTGTTCGTCTTTGACGTAGTCCAGGCATAAGACAAGCATTGCAGTCTTGCACAGTTTCTGGGGGTTAGCTTGTGTATCGTCCGGACCTGATTATGATTAACACTGGCTAATTACCATGGCTGTTTATGAATCTGTTTGGCTGTCTGCAGGCAGTGATGGAAGTACTAATCCCATCCAATCTTCAGCCGTTGCCTGAAAGGTAAATGCAATTGGCCGATCAATGCGATCATGTGATGCATTCTGTTCACATAATATTATTATGCCGGTGATGTGCGTGTGAAAGTTTTTATTGGGATTTTGCCTTAAACAACTCATCTCCGCTCAATTTAACACATTGTGTGGGGTCCATAAATTTTAAAACTTAATTCATTTTCACCTGAGCTGGATGATGTTCTCACCATGAGGGTTATTTTGAAGTCTCAAAAAACGAATTTGCCGTAGTAGTTCATCAGCGCATTTCATGACGATGTTTTCTTGCGTGTCACTGCAGCTTGAGCCAGGACATTCGTGAGTTTTCGCGCCAGCTACCGTGTTGGCTGGGCCAAGCAATGGCAGAGCTCCCGGAAGGACTTCAAGGCCGTAAACTGGAGGGTACGTGATGTACCCAGCTCCTGTGGGTTTGGTAACGGGAGGGGAACATGGATGCAGCGAATGGGATTTTCGGTCTTTAATAACCACTCAGTGGTGGATTTGATCTACTCACCTCTCACCACTTTAGGAGCTACATCTGTGTTTTGATCATTCGGGGTGGTGGCGTTCCTACAGATGCGGAAAACTCAGTCGAACAGAGTATAACGCATACCGTGAATTCTGTTGGCGTGGTAACTGAAGTTTCATGTCTGAATCGATCACATTTCTGATGGTGAATGTAACTTGTCCAAACTCTATGTTGGAAGTGATTTTCTCTGGATTAGCATACGGTTTGCGGCACTGATCGAATTGACCGTTGACATGTGTCCCTTGATCTTTGTTTGTTATCATGTACAGTTTCCAGGAATTTCTGCAGAATGCTACGTCGGCAAACATCCCTGGTTCACCTTGCACAGGTAAGCTTGGCCTCCGCCATGCCTCCAACTAAATCTGCCGTTCGTGGACTGGCGGATTCCGAGGTAAAGCTGTTGTGCTCCCTCCCCGGGATCGAGTCGTCGGTAGTAGATGTGATGAAGACGTTAGCAGCATTGGTAACGGAGTCCGCAGACCGCGAAGAACGACTGAATAACAGAATTGACGACTTATCGAGGCAAATTGCAGGGCTGAACGAGGAGGTTGTCGCCCTCAGGGAGTCCGCCATTGCTTCTCCTCGGCCTGCCACAGCTGACGAACCCCAGAGAACTCGTACTCCGCAGAGTCGACGGCGTACCCGTACGCGCAAGGGCCAGGCCCAGGATGCCACGCGGGACCAGTCCCAGGATGCCACGCGGGCCACGACTGATGAGGGCGACGTGCAGCATGCTGGCCAGCGCAACTTGGAGCTGGAGGACGACGACAACGAGCCCCAGACCCTGGACATCATTGCTGACGACAGCTGGCAATTAGTTGCACAGGAACCCCCCAGGGCCAAGAAAACAGTAATCTTTGTGGGCAACCTAGGTACAAACTGCTCTGAAGAGAGCATCAAAACTTTCGTGAAGCGGCGCGCTGAGGCAGTGGGATCAACGGCCAGTGTTCACAACAGCAGCATCCACACAACGCAGACGGGAAAGGTGTCAGCTAGGATTTGTATAGATGCCACAGACCTGAGCCTCGTGACAACTCCGGACTTCTGGCCAAGGCCTCTATACGCCCGGCCATGGGAGTACCGAGACCGCCCGAAGCCCAATCGACAACACCCTGCCGGCGCTGCGAGAGGTGACCCTACACTGGATGGTGCTGACAGCGCTGACAGCGACAGCACGGCATCTGCTGGCACCCCGCAATGATCAGTGGAGCTCCGCCGCTCCGCTGGCTGGTGACCAATGCATTTGGCCTCACCAACAAGCTGGGAGAGCTGCAGCATGCACTGCTCAACGATAACGTCGACATAGCGGTTATCACAGAAACGAAGTTCTCGACCCAGACCGTAGCCTCTGAGACAATATTTCCAGGATACTCGTCTCCCATCCGACGTGACCGGGATGCATTTGGTGGCGGCATTGCTGTATGGGTGAAGTCCGGCCTCCCAGTAGTGCACCTCGACCAGATTCCCACTGATGACCACGAAGTCCTCTGGCTTGCCGTGAGTCTTTCCACGCAACAATCTGTTGTTATCGGTGCCTTGTATCGGCCTGGATCCTGTGCGGACAACGACACCTGTCTGATTGAGTATCTTGGACCTGCACTAGACGTGGCCCGCACTCACGGCACTCACATAGTGCTAGCTGGGGATTTTAATGTCCATCACGAGACTTGGCTCTGCAGCAGCAAAACAACTGTAGCTGGAGAGGCCTTAGAAGAATTGTGTGCTGAGCATCAACTCCACCAGCATGTCTTGCAGCCGACTAGGGGTCTGAACACCCTGGACCTCATCCTCTTCAACATGCCCGTTCCTATCGACACCACTGTCAAAGCGCCACTTGGTCGCTCTGACCATGGGGTTGTTCTTGCCGACTTTTACCTCACCCCTGATGCTGAGCAAGCTACCTCCAGGACTGTCTGGCGCTACAATCAGGCAGACTGGGGGCGCCTGTGGGCCTTCTATCGCACTACTGACTGGTCCACCATTGTGACTGACGACCCTGAAGAGTCCTGCAGGAAGCTAAGTGACGTCATCTCCAGTGGCATGCAGAACTTTATCCCCGCCAAGCAGCTTGTTACCCGCCCAGCAGACCCCAAATGGTGGACTCCTGAGTGCACCACAGCATTGAACACTAAAGACAAGGCATGGAAGGCCTGGAGACACAATATTTTCAGCGAAGCCCACAAGGCTTGCTTTATGCGCTCAGTAGAAGATGCTATCCTCGCGAATGTGCGAGCTCGCACATCCTGGGAACTGAGAGTTCGTCGGAAACTGTCACGCGGAGGCCTGAAAGACAAGCAATGGTGGTCGGTGCTCAAATCTGCTGCTGGCGCCAGTCATGGCTCGTCTATACCATGCTTGGTAGATGACGCTGGTCACCAACTCCGTATGAATGCTGCCAAAGCGAACTGCCTTGGTCGCTACTTCGCCAATAAATGTAGCCTTGGAGATGATGACTTGGGCCCGGGGGATCTCCCTCATGTTCGCCAACCCGGGGTCACCCCACTTAGCCGAATCCACTTCCGCCTGCAAACAGTGAAACGCCTCCTGAACCAGCTCGACGTTGGCAAGGCGTCCGGCCCAGACAACATCCCTGCCCGAGTGCTCAAAGAGTGCTCCCATGAACTTGCATCGCCTCTCACGTCTCTCTTCGCCCTGTGCTTCCGTAAGGGGGTCCAGCCAGAGGCCTGGAAGAGTGCTCGAGTTGTGCCAGTCCACAAGAAGGGCAGCCTATCCAACCCTAAGAATTACCGTCCAGTCTCCCTCCTCCCCATCATCTCCAAAGTGATGGAGCGTATTGTGAACTGTCAAATTGTGAATCACCTTGAAAAACATCATCTCTTGTCAACCAAGCAGTACGGATTTCGCAGTGGCCTTGGAACAGCGGACCTACTAGCAGTGCTTGGGCATGATTGGTCGCTGGCAGCTGGTTCTGGTGGCTGTGCCCACGTCCTGGCTGTCGACATTGCTGGTGCGTTTGACCGCGTGTCGCACCCCGGCGTCCTACACAAAGCAGCCACTCTCGGTATTGGTGGTAGCCTGCTGCAGTGGCTACGGGACTATTTGCGGAATCGCACACTAAGCGCAATCGTCAATGGACAGGAATCTGCTCAATTCCAGATGAAAGCTGGCGTACCCCAAGGCAGCATCCTGGGACCCACCTTATTCTTGATGTATGTCAACGATGCTGAGACCTGTCTTTCCCCATCAACACGAATGGGTGTGTACGCAGATGACACCACGCTGTACACCATCATACGATCCAGACATGACTCTGCTGGCAGTATTGCAGACATGCAATCTAGCCTGGATCGATTGAGTAGCTGGGGAGAACAATGGCGAATTCGCTTTGAGCCGACAAAGTCGCAGCTGCTGCATATTGGCCACCACCGCAACCCCTGGCCACTCCCAGACCTAACGTTCGGAGCCCATGATATTCCCTGTGGGGACGAGCTGAAGCTTCTGGGAGTGACCTTCGACAGCAAACTCACCTTCAGACGCCACCTCCGCAATGTTTCTCTTCGTGCCGTAGCCCGACTAGGATTTCTGCGTCGAGCATCAAGTTTCCTTGGTCGTGAAGGATGCTTGACAACGTACAGAGGCTTCGTACGCCCTGTACTCGAATACGCACCATTGACATGGATGGGCGCAGCCAACTCTCACCTGCAAAGTCTCGACCGAGTACAGCGGAAGGCCCTTGCTATCATTGGTCCTGACGCCTTGCTGCAGAGCCTAGCTGCCCGCCGCCAAGTGTACGCTCTCACGTACATGTACAAGCTAATGTGCCTTCAAGACCATCCAGATTTCTCTGCGCTCGTGCCGCCTCGCCAGGAAGCTAGCCTCGTCCCGCGGACAAGGTCGCAGCTCCGTGTCCGCCACCAGCATCAGCTACAGGCAGTGCTCCTCCCTACGGCCCCCAACTCTCTCCAGCGTTCGTTCCCATATGGTGTAGTGGATGAATGGAACAGGCTTCCGCAAGACATGTTTCCGGATCCGATGCCCCAGTTGAAGTCTCTCCAATCCTTCAAGACGAAGGTCCTTCGCCACTTGCGTCAAAAGAATTGGCTCTGGGCTACGGACTCCCTGTGAGGCTATGCCACCCGTCAATGAGCAACTACCCTCGTCCATCATCTCTTTCTTGTTTTATATTTATTTCTCTTCTCATCTCTTTCTTGTTTTATTTTATTTCTCTTCTCATCTCTTTCTTGTTTTATTTTATTTCTCTTCTCATCTCTTTCTTGTTTTATTTTATTTATTTCTCTCTCTCTCTCTCTCCCTCCCTCTCTCTCTCTCTCTCTCTCTCTCTCTCTCTCTCTCTCTCTCTCTCTCTCTCTCTCTCTCTCTCTCTCTCTCTCTCTCTCTCTCTCTCTCTCTCTCTCTCTCTCCCTCCCCCCCCCTCTCTCTCTCTCTCTCTCTCTCTCTCTCTCTCTCTCTCTCTCTTTCTCTCTCTCTCCCTCCCTCCCCCCCCCCCCTCTCTCTCTCTATCTTTCTCTCTCTCTCTCTCTCTCTCTCTCTCTCTCTCTCTCTCTCTCCCTCTCCCTCTCCCTCCCTCTCCCCCCCCCCCTCTCTCTCTCTCTCTCTCTCTCTCTCTCTCTCTCTTTCTCACTTGATCTCCCTCCCTCCCTAGCTGCATTCCTAACGATGCCTGGTCGTAGGCTATGATTCCGAGACCTCCGGTCGGATGAGCCTCGCCAACCACATCGGCACATCGCCCCTACTCCCCTTTGTCTTGTTGTCCAGCGTCATTTCAGTTGTCCTCGTCCCCTGATTATTAGTAGGGCTGTGTTTTTTAGTAAAAAAATAAATAAAAAATAAAAAAAAAGCTGCACCATACTCAATCGTTCTGTTTGTATTAGCAGAGTGTTATGGGTAAAGTCAGATTTCACAACATAGGCTTTAATGCTGCATTTGATTTTCTGCATTCTACAGAATGATGAATGACACCTGAAGACAATTTCAAACTCTGATCCCCTGCTTTCCTTCTGTGTGATTCTCCCCAGGCATCCCGCGGGATTCTCCGGAACTGTGATGTCATCACACAGCTACTCCAGGACTGGCGAGGCATAGACTTCGATCCCATTCACCTCAAATTCAACTATGCGGTGGAAAACGGCTCCTGTGAGGGCAATGTGATCAGCTCAGAGTTTTCCAAATCAGGTGAGTCACGCTTTGCTTCACTGGCCTCGAAACTTGGCAATAGGTTAAAATGCTTCCTCTTGCCATCTAGCCCTAGGCCGTGTCAGCCCGTGAGCTCATGCAAGAGACTTGTTCCGCACAGAGCAGAACATCTTGTACAGATTAGTGATGGCAGCGACTTCACATCCTCGGAATCACAATTTTCTCAAATGCACGGACTGCGTCCCCAACATTGATCCGGGCGCTGTGAAACAGCTACACCAAAATATCAAGGACCCTGAGGTTCGGGACCGCACACATCTTAGACGGGTAGTTGTCAACCACTGCCGTCATAACATTATTTTTCAACAACTAGGTAAAGCCTGTTTATACCATGGAAATTGTGAGCACAAGTCATACGATCGAGTCCACCAACTAAACCAGATTTTGAACACTCACCACCTGAGTTCTTAAAGCCTGTTTGGACAAAGATTTGCTTACAGAAACTTTGTACTCCCCTCCCTCCCCCCCCCCCCAGTCTTAGACAAGATTTTACAAAACGTGTTTGCAACTTAGCACCTTCTACTCCGCTCCTGTGTCTACCCTGCTACAGTGACAAACAAATTTGAACAGCTCTTTGTGAAGCAAGCGCCACTGGAAACGTACTTCGAGTGGGTGGACAGTCTGATGGAGGAGCAAATCCAGGTATATATTGAGTACTTAAAAAAAGTGTACTGTAATAATTATTATAGTTATTGTATGCTTTAAAAATGATTTATAATATCATGCACCAAACAAATGAATTACACATAGCTACTCATTCACTGTCATGTTAAGTTAGACTATTATATGTGGAGCCATGCGGGTACAGCAATCTCACATTGGTAATAATTATGTTTTCAATATGCCCGTAGGCGACGACAAGTGAGCTTTGTTACCTAACGATCAATTGCTGTTGAGAGGAACTCTGAGTTCCAGTGACAATGACGTGGACAGTCTCAGTCCCAGTAATTTTGGATGCACAGCAAAGTATTCGTCAAGTGGAAGGGTTTTAGCGCGATACTATTCTCAGAACCAAATTGTTAACAACACTTGATTGCTGTGCCGTTTCCTCTGTATGACAGGACATTGAGGATGTAGGCGAAGCGTTCAAGAGGAAGTCAAACTTGCTCACCCAGTGGTCGTTGTACGGAGCTACGATAGCCCGCGACATGACCTTGAGAAGCTCGCAGAGTTTTGGTGAGTCGCATGCCATACAATGGGATGATGCTGTCCTCCGTAGGAAATTGATGTTGGGCAGTGTAAACCGTCTCCGCTCGAATGACATTTGGTCAAAGGACGGATGAAGCTATTGTAACATATGTCGCTGGTCGATTATGCCTCAGTGATTTCTCTGTGCAGAGTGAAACACCACTGTCCACTAATTGGTAGTATTTGCACTCTCCTATTTTGCTTAACACATTCCTGGCTTGAGTTGCTTCAATTGTATCTCGGAACATATTCGGAGTATATTCGATAATAACGTGGATTTCCCCAACAATATATTTTCATTTTTGCTATCCTCTCCCATGCCGTTGTACATAAGCGGCTTGGCGCGGTTATGTCAATACTACTACTATCTCGGAACACGCAGACATTTATATTCACTTGTACCAGAGGGAAGTTATTCAACAGCCATTTTGGTGTAAAATTTCCACTGTTTCCATGGACTAAAATGCTGCTGGTTAGACCGAAGTGCCCATAACATCGGGGTGTTAAGAGGAAAGTTATGGACAGGTCTATTCGCTGCAGGAATTATGTCATATGCAGCTATCCAGTCAATGATATGAAGTACATTTTTCTTGGCTATGTGGCATACTTCTAACATCATGAATTTTGCTTCCTGTTATTTTCTCTATGGGTTTCCCTTGCCAATTTCTTCTCAGGTTCGTTTCACCTGCTGTTCATGCTGTTGAGCGAGTACTTGATGTGCCTGGTGGAGACACTACAGCACAAGAACATAGAACAGCAGTTACAGACTTCTCTGGCCATGCAACAAGACATCCAAGGTAAGACCCAAAGAGTACTATAGTTTTATGTGCAATTGTTACTACCTGAATTCTTATTCTTAACAAGTACCGGTACAGGACATTGTTTAGGCTCTTGTATGTTGTGTACTTTATTTATATTGGAAATCAAAACAGGCATAATGCCTATTAACAATGGACCCACTGTAGACTTGAGTATCTATACAGGAACCTGCTCTTTATGAAAGCCAGTGTGTTTCCTAAGACTCTGAATTCCCCATGTGTGCAGGATGTGAATACACATGCAGAATACTGGACATCTATAAATTTTGGCCAGTAATTTCTTTACTCTGGCCAATCTCAAAAACAAGCCGTTTCCCGGTTGTCATCAAACTCCTAGCCATGTAGGGCTTTCACAATAGAATGCGATTGATCGATGCAGTCATGGTCCTGATTTCGTATTATTGGGATCAAGTGATATGCTCCTGATGATTGTGTACTTAGGAGCATGTAGCTCTCGGGAGAGATATGATTTTCTTTCACTGGACCTTGTGCCGGTGCGCTAAAGCCTCTGGTCCCTCACCAGTCAGCACCTGCACTGAGCGCTCTGTTACCTGTCGTCATGGTTACCCTACGATCAAGTGAAAAGTTGTGTTTGGCCGTTTGCTTTGGTTGTTTGGTGCTGAGTTGTAAAGTTTGGAAACTACAGTCAAACCTGGTGTAAGCGACCTCTGTGTTTAGCGATCACCTGCTCTTAACGACCTCTGGGTTTAGCGACCGCCTGCTCTTAACAACCGTTTTTCCATGCACCGACAGTTCTACACACACACACACACACACACACAGTGGGACCTGGTTCTAAAGACCACCTGGCTTTAACCACCGCTTCTGCTTGCACCGTAGGGTGGTCGCTTTTAAAAACCTGGTTTTTACTGTATAATTGATCGTTGTCAGATGATTGGCTCAGCCATGAAACTCTGAGTCACAACGGAATTTGCCCAGGGTGTTTATTGTGTGCCTTTGTGTATGCCGCTCTGCCTGAATCAGGTATTGAGCACTTTCGCAGAACCTAAGCGTACTGCCTCTGTGTGTAATTGATCATAGAAATGTTACAGAAAGCGAGTACAGCTGTGTTTGCCTTACCACATTGGTTTTATTATTATTATTATTATTATTATTATTATTATTGTGCTCACGTACAGTAACTACCATCAAGGGAGAGCCACTGCAGTACCTGACACCGCTGGGTACACCCACCATTCCTGCCAGCCAGCACCCTAGCGACGTGTTCAACTTTGGTGGAGGCCGCGGCGGTGGTGGCGGAAGTGCTATGGTGCCACCGCCGCCCGTGCACCTCGGCAGCGGTGGATACCTGTCCTCGCCGTCACTGTACGCCAGCGGATCCATGCCGGACGTATCGCATATGTCCGGGGCCGCGGCAAGTGGCATGGATATGTCCACTGCCATGCAGTCGCAGCAACGGTTTTGTGATTACCCGCAACTGCAAGGGCAGCGTCAACCAGAGGTGTCGATGGCGGGCAGTGATGTGCAGAGTATGTCCGACCTTTACGATCAGAGCCGAGGTAGCAACGTGTTCACCAGTATACCGAACATCCAGCAGATGTCTGCCACCGTTGGAGAGTCTAGCATGGGCTCTTCGTCGGCGTACGGCTTCTCGAGCTCGCCATTCGACATGGCACCGGAATGCAAGACCGAGCTGAAGGACTCTGCCATCACTGACCTGAGTGTGGTACCAAGCAGCAGCATTTCCAGGCCGGCACCTGGCAATTTCCACTCGCCCGCAGTCATGGACCCGGCCGACTGCGGCGGTGAGTTTGGCTCTGGCCCGCGGGACGCTATGGGAGCGTGGCCGGTCGACGAACAAATGACGGCGAGCTCCGTGAGCCTGCACTCGATGGCAATGAGCAGTGCAGGGGCTGGTGCTCGTGCCGAAGACCTGGCCTTCATGTCTGTATCTAGTCATGATCTTGCCGCTCGTAGCTATCCGTCGCTAGACATGGCGGCCATCGCATCCACGCAGAGCTCCAAGCAGTGCTTCGAGCCGGCAGCCCTCCGGCAGCCCCCTGGACTTGGCAGCGTGCCGAACATCTCCAATCCGTCCACCAGCGCCAGCAGCAGCTTCAGCCATCCGAACATCAACCGCCTAGTACACGGCAGCGGTGTCGGTGCAGCCATTGGAATGAGCTCCGGCAAATCGCAGCTCTCCATGCACACCTTGTCGCAGAGTAACCTACTGCAGTAATGCCAGCCACAATCGACTGCAATCTACTGCCGTGATCCTAATGGTGACACACAGCCACATGACCAGGAGAAGCCAACTCATCGTCACAGAAACTGAAACACCAAACAATCACCATATGAACTAGAGAACACAAAGTCATCACCACAGTTAAAACTGGAGAAACCAAATCATCGCCACACGAACTGGAGAAGAGCAATATACTGCAAGTGGCTCTTACAACTGCAGTGATTGAAGTTGGTGAAAAGAAAATTGATTACCAAAGTCGCGAGGAGCAGAAAGACTTTCCTCGTATCCTACGATTTTTTAAAGAAATTGTTGTACAAAGCAATTGCACGAAATATGCAGTTGTGTAAGTATCCTATATCCAACCTCTCGAGCGTGTATCCTAGTTCATGGCTAAGAAGCATACATGCAAGGAGGGGGCTAATCTTCTCGCAGAAAAGGGGGAAAAGGGGAGAAAAAGGGGGAAAAAGAGGGGGAAAAGAAGAGCGGGAAATTGAAAAAGAGGGGGTAAAGGATGGCGGGAAAAGGAAAAAGAGGGGGAAAAGGATGGCGGGAAGCATCAACCGTTTGAATGTGCATACATCTAAAGTGAGGCTATTTCCAGGCTCTGCACCAGTACTCATCCACCACGGCCCCCCGCAGCCTCCTCCTCCCCCCCCCCCCCCCCCCCCATCACACACAATGTGCCGATTATTCTAATGTCAACTATCCAAATGATTAATTATCCAAAATGCTTGCTTGCATTTAGTTGAGGGGTAGAAGATGAGTTTCAAGTTGTTGATTTTCGTCGCTCGGGGCACCATTGAAGCGATTGACAAGATGTATTACAACAGGTTTGAGTTAAAATGTGTAATAATTATCAATAATTTAGGAGGAGCTTGAGTGCACCTAGTTCCTGTTGCACTGCTGAAGAGAATGAAAATGATGAAAACATGTTGGAATATGCATGATTTAGATAGATGTGTGACTGCTCTCTTATCCGAACATTCTTCTCATCTGAACCCTCTGGAAACAGCCCGCGTCACGAGGGATGTGGATAATCGGCACTCTCCTGTACATCTAATTCTATTCTTAAATTATATACATATTGTGGAGCTCTTTCTGCTGCCGGGAATGAGAAAACACATCCCAGGTAAGGATACGCTCCTCAAGGAAACACAGCTGGTGGATTCCAACCGTGGTATGAAACTCATACACAATCAATTAGAAATACTTTGGAGAATAAACCTTTGTTGGAGAAACAAAGTCGGGCGAGAGTATAATGTTCAAGTAAAACAATGCCAAAGTGCCGTAACGTGAAGAAAGGAACATAGCGCACAAGTAAATGAAGATAAATTCACATACAAAATATGCCCAGCTGTGGCAATTTAAGTCAAGATTAGCAGAATATACGCACATGCAAACACATACACACATACACACGCACACACACACACACACACACACACACACACACACACACACCCACACACACACACACACACACACACACACACACACACACACACACACAAGCGTGTGCACACAAACGCAAACAAACACATACAACAACAACACACACACACACACACACACACACACACACACACACACACTGTTGGCTGCAATATGCGATGGCAGCCTAGACAGAGGAAACAAAGTTTACACAAACAAATTCCTACTCTTTCTTTGTCTTCTTCTTCTTCTTCCTCATATTCGATTCAAGGGAGGCTCTTCTATTTTTTTTGCTTCGGCCAACCTCGTTTTGGGATCTGACCCACTTTATTGGCCCCGGAGTACAGGTACCCTGAACCTGAGAGTGTCCTTCTGATGTCATCGTTCTCCTACATTTTCTGCATGTCTATATTATTCTTTCTACGAGGACAGCAGAAGGACAGAAACAAAGACATCCACACCATTTTTAAGACTGCATCTGCCAAGGAACACATCAAAAAAGCAAATTCTACACGCCAAACATTGGTTCACGCCGTAACAAATTGCCACGCCATGAAAAATTCGCTCGAATGCCTGGTGGGAGATGCTTTTTAAAAGGCTTGCAGACATTTTTCACAAAAGACATTGTTGTGGCTGCCACCGAATTCGTACAAGAATATGTCAACTTCTAATCAAGGACTGTAATAATTTCTGCCTTACGTATTAGAGGGGAAGTCTGGATTTTTTTTAATTTCAGGACCCGTAGAGTTTGGGGCGCTGAGTCGAATGTTCTTTTCCGAGGAGGCTGTGGTCCATGGTTCTTCATATCCGCCTAATCGAACATGAGCGAACGCGACCATGCAGTCTACCTGATCCAGGTGATAAGGTCACAGTGTGCAGCCAGGTAGCCACACCATCTATTTGTGTGCAAAATGGCCAATGTTCGAAACGCATTTGATTGGAGAACCATCTGTCGCAGCTTCTTCGGACCAAGAGCATTCGACTCACTCTCACTTTTACTTTAAGAATAGAACAACAGTACCCTGTGATTTTCAGCTCGGCAAAATTTGAGGATATCCCGTTTTTACCCATTTCCGAGTTGGACTTTTTATATCCGCTGGCTTCTGCGTGCATGCCATAGTCAACAAACATACTGAAGTACTGAACACTACACTACAGTACTGCCGGGCGCCGAAGAACGGGGTCAGGGTTCTAGCCTAGCCCGTTCTTATTTTTAGCGAACACAGCAGTTTCGTTCTTATTCGATGGTACATGTACATTTATGCAGAGCTATACGTCTGAGTGTACATCATAGTGTACATTACGTTTCTACCTAGACCGTTCTTAAAAAAAGTCGAAATTATAGCCTGGCCGTTCATCGGCGGTCCGTTCTTCGGCGCCCGGCAGTACTGTAGTAGTAGTAGTAGTACATGACTACACCCGCACTGTCGTGCTAGCGCTACGCGAGTCGTATGGTAGATCTAAATGTACAAGAGACTAGTCAATACACGGACGTGTCATGTACTGCACCCGGTATGTAGTTAGAGAAGGTGTGCTCCTCTGGGCCGGTGATTGTCCTTTGAGAAAGAAATATTTTTGTTTTCCGCTTGGAATAGTCCAGCCTCATTTACGCTACAACGATGAGTCCACAACCGTGACAAGCGACAAAACCGCGAACAGCCCCCGGATCTAAAACGTTCAGATCCCGAAGTGTTGTGAGCCTTGAATCGAAGAGTCGTGTCCGTGGTTCCAAGAACCTGCATTGTATATCCAATCGAGCAGCGTCTGAGCTATGTTCGCACCAAAAATCACTATGTGGTAGCCTGCTGGAGTTCAAGCGAGTCGGTATCAAACAATATTTAGAGCAGTCTCATTGATTGTGGTCTTAAAATTGTTGCCTCCTCGCTGTTTGTTTAAAACGCTTTATCACAGCTAAAAAGCCAAATGACTCTGGGGTTAGCGGAGGACATCGGTGCACTTATAACAGCAGCAAATCGTGCATTTTCCACTGTATCATGGAAATGCCACACCCTGCAGTCCCGCTGTTACCATATTTTAGCGGTATAAGTCGACTTATTGATTTGAATTCAGTGCAAACAGGAATTTCAGATAATTGACCGTTTGAACAGTTGACATTCGGATAATCGGCATTCTACTGTGATCCTAGTGCATGCAATGAAACATACTTGACTGTTGGGAGTCTTGCTGCGTCAGTGCAAATTGGCAGTTAATGCTAGAAGCTGCAGTGAACAACATCACAAATAGAAAATATAGAAAAGCAAATACAACTGAACTTTGATACTGGAAATTACAGATCTGCTGCCCGCATCCACATGTCCATATTCTACATGTGCGATTGATCCTGCAAGATCTTCACTGCCCGTCTAATTGAGGATGGCACCCCGAATAGAACGGGCCGCTTCTAAACCAATCAAAGACCCAGGTTGTTATACTCCAGCAACCGGGCAAAGACCTGTCACCCATCCATGACCCATCAGCCCATCTTCTTATGCTCACATTTTGGTGTAGTAGTTGAGCACCTGTCCTTCCTTCATCAAGTGGATATCCTAAGCATGTGACTTACCGCTGGTATATCTCTGCACTTCCATCTTGACTGGTTGTCAAGTCCCTTTCCGGAGAGGTAGAGTGGCTGGTAGGGTCAGTGCAGTCCTGGCCACGCCATGAGAAAGAAGACATTTTCCCATCAGGAGAAGGCCAACATCCTCCCTCTGGGTAGTGTCTTGATACCTGCAGTGCAGTGCAGTAACATTAAACTGCAATTGAAATTGTCTCCATGCCATTGTTAAGCCCAGTTCACATTCGACGGGGGGCAACGGGACGCGACATAAGGATCGACGGGAAACGATGGGACGGTCACCCCGTCACGGACTGTGCCTTATGACTCGCACCATTCGCTGTTGAACATCGCAAAGACTGGAGCATGTCGTGTCGTACGAATTGTACAAGATTTTACAGCTCACCCCAGCCGTCACAGGCCCTTATGTCCCGTACCGTCAGCGTTGCGTCGAAAGAGAACTAGGCTTTAGAAAGATTACGTGTTGGTATGTGCTCCTACTTACACACAAATATACAAAAGGTATATAAAGAGAAAGCATGATCCACCCCATCATTGACACCAACAGCCCGGCACAAGAGCAGCAGCACCTGCATTCTATTAACCCAAAGTTCATCTGCGAATATACTCACAGAGTCGTCTCCTTTACTGTGCCCGACCTTGGAAGAAAACAACACAGCGACGTAGTGTTGGTATCGGTGAGGGCTTCTACGTTCACATGAACATACAGAAAAGCACAATATATTTCCAAACAGACGCCAACTAGTATAACCAAACAGCAACGACAACACCACAAAGACCTAACAGTCTCTTGAGCACAAAGTGTCTGGGATAAAAAAAGAGCAGAAGTTCACCATTGACACTGGTATTATAAAACTTTCTACAACTGCTGCAGAGGCAGCAGCAGGGTTCTAGTGCCCGGACCCAAAGCTCATCTGAGAATTTTCGCCATTGATACAAAGCAACGACCATGGTAGCAACAGAGAGTAACAGCAGCAGCCGTTTGAGCAGCAGTATCAGCAGTCTCCAGCTTCAAGGGAGTGACCTAGCAAATTTTACAGTAACGTGAAAGGTACAACTGCACTCTTTCCGGCACCAAATATGCCATGCTGTCCCCCGCTGCAAAATAGAGGACAACTCTCAACTGTCGCCAACACCTTGGCCCAGAGGGAGTCTTTCCTTGGACGTTCGCCCCGGCCAAAGAAGGTCAAAACCCAAGTGGTGTAATCATGTATCTGCTTCTCCAATCGAGACACTGGCAAGGCTTGTATAGGCATGATAAATTGATAATACTGTATGCATATAACAAAGGCAAACTCACATACGCACAAACTCACGTCCATGCACATGTGCACGGACGGTGTCGTTGGCGTACACACACACACACACACACACACGCGCGCGCCCATGCCCGCGCATGCACAGGACAAAGGCATGTGCAAAGGAGCATACTCACAAAAACACAGGACAGGCACACGACTGATCTACGGATGTATCACGACATTGAAGGGACGGAGCTTGCAGCAAGCCTTCACCCCCTGGAGATTCCTGAAATACATAAATACATGTCAGCAGTAAATAGTTGCAGCATAAACATTTCCACGGGGACTGTGCAGCTTCACAAACCTTAACTTCAGTCTCCCCAGAATGCAGCAATCAGACAACGGCTACGAAGAGGTGCAGGAAATTTGAACAACTGTTTCAAAAGCAGTCCTCCAAGCCTTCTGCACCAACAGGTGATTCAGTTCGTGCTCTTATACCATCCTGGCAGGTAGAGACATTTTCTAATAACACAGAGAGCACAATCATCAAGGTGGGCAAATCCTCAAGAGAGAGTGCACCCTAACTTACACTACAAATCATTTACTGGACACTACTGGACAGAGCGTCCAGTCCATTCAGTCCAGGGGAGAAGAGGCAAAGGCATAGGGCTCCTGAGAAGATGAAAGGGCAACACATTATCATTACTACATTAATTTTATTATTGGGGGCAGACGTCTTCTCTGTAAAATATGAGGACGAAAGGCACATCAGTACTCACATCCCTGCTCATATCACTGCTCATCCATGTCCTCTACGAGGGCAATGCATTTAGGGCTGAAACAAGTATACAGATAACTCGCAAACCGATCGTTTTAAGAGCGCAATCGATAATCGTTAGTGTTCAAAGCGAATGCAAACGATTTCTTATGCATGCATACCAGTGGCAGTATGCTAGCCCTTGCACTCCATCCAATTGTGGATACGAGTGCAATCGTGTACTTTCAAGTGCAGTAATATTGATGCGTGGCTATGAAAGAGATCGGGAGTCAAGACTGTATCTTTCCGATTGATTCGTTGCGGAAGTTGGTGATAAGAGCTTCAAGCCAAAGGGTGACGACAAGCCTGATTCTTCGTTCTAGAAACAACATGAACTCCTCTAGTTCATATTGATAAAGCCTAGTTCACATTCGACGGGACGCGGCGTAAGGATCGATGGGAAGCTACAGAACGGTCTGACGGCGTCCAATGTGAACACCAGGAACGGGAACGCAACCATACTACCGTACGGATCGGGAAGCGACGGGAAGTGTTGGATCAGTTCAACTTTTCATACCGTAGACGGGCATAGACGGAGACGCAAGTGTACAAAACGGCTGCATTTTGAGTGTGAACAGGAGGTGGCGTCGTGCGCCGTCCACTCCCGATTCGTACTAGGAAATTTTTAGGATTTCGAACACTGCGCTTCCCATGATAACTCGCAGAATGGCTAACACGACTTGAGTTGAATTTTAGCAAGATAAGATCTCATGTCACTTATGGTATTTAGGGATAGTTTAGGAGAATGACAGATGAACTGTTTTATCATTTCCTAGGGCTACTATTCGAATGGCACAACTTTCAGGGCTACTTTTTTGTCTCCATGAAAAACTGGTATTGTGAACTTGATTTCGCTTCATTCAAGGAGAAATAATTGAAAAGAAGTCCCGAAAAACAAGAAATTAGGTCCGAAAGTCACCCCGTCACGGACTGTGCCTTATGACTCGCGCCGTTCGCTGGAGAACATCGCAACGACTGCAGCATGTCGTGTCGTACGAATCGTAAAAGATTTTACAGCTCACCCCAGCCGTCCCGACAGGCCCTTACGTCCTGTACCGTCAGTGTTACGTCGAATGTGAACTAGGCTTTAGACCAGTCAGATGTCTACAGGTGTCGACACAATTGCCTGAAATGTTTACAGAATACCAAACACTGAGCGGTAGCCTGGGTATATTTAGAGTGTTTGACTGGTGGCCACAGCTAATGTAGCAAAGGCATCATGGAATTTCTTCATAGTCTTGTGTTCGAGGTGCACGACTACAGCCGGAAAGAATCTATAATTATGAACCAACAATTATAATTCTTTGTCACTGCTTACGCATCATTTAGCTTCGAGTTGTACCTTCTGCTGTGTAGCGCAGAACACAAGCTCGGAGAGATCTTTGCGGCTGCATGCCGCCTTTGCTGGGCGACATTCTATACGGATAACTGCACACAACGTTGACAAATTCTTCACTTGTGTAGTTCGTAGTACTACTGGTGATCTCAATGTCTCAGTACTCATACTCCTTGTCAGTTTTGTGCTAGATTGTGCACGTCTGACTATTCGAAATCTGGTTTAGTTGGTGGACTCGATTGCATAGCTTGTGCCCACATTTTTCTATGTTACAATTATATTCATCGCTAAAGAGATTGGTTGATCGCTTGGAGTTATTGAATGATTGTTTCAGCCCTAATTTATTTTCACCCTGGCCACAGCACTAGGCGAAATTCTCTGACACGGCCTTTACCTGCATCCACTGCTCTTTTGCATCACGACGAAGAGGACATGCTGGGGTTCTCTCTGAGCAGAGGAAAGTAGCCATCGCCACCACCACCATCACCATTCACCGACAATACTAGAGAGACTATTTTCCCCGTCGTGGGTACTTCCAATAAAGTAATTCCACTTACATAGTATCATAGGTACCGTCAGCGGCGCCACCATGTTCCTAACAGTGTATTCCTATCGTGGGTACTTCCACGGGCAATAAATTCGGCTCGTGCTGTCACTCGCAAGCCATCAAAATAATGCTATCCCTCACTTGCGCGAATTGCCTCTGCAAACAAAATTATTTCAATGATTGGACTCAGTTCTTTTCGCTCGTGCACGCGTGGTACATGGTCGCGTGCGCCCCATCTACGCCCATACATTGTTTCATCTTGTTTCATCTTGTTTCATTCGCGGCCCATCTACGCCCGTACTTCGAGTTTCATTTGGTTTCATCTTGTTTCATCTTGTTTCATCTTGTTTCATTTTGTTTCATTTTGTTTCATTTCGTTTCATCTCGGCCCCATCTGCGCCCGTACTTGGCGTTTCATCTTGTTTCATCTCGTTTCATCTCGTTTCATCTTGTTTCATCTGTTTCATCAGGGGGGAAGACGCGCCCGTCAACCTTGCGCGGATTGGCTGGAGGTGGGAGGATGGGCTTCAGGGGGCTTGTTGTTGGAAGGTAGGAAAGCTTGAACGTGAACGAAAGCGCAGCAACCAGTCGGCGGTGTTTCAGGCTGGGGAGCCAGGCGCCTGGGCCAATCACCTTCAGTGCCTTGTGCTGGATTTTGTCCAGTCTGGATGTACCTGACCCCATCCACACCAGGCAGCAGTATTCCATTGTTGGCCGCACGAAGCCTTTGTAGACTGCCGTGCGGCCGCTGGAGTCCAACAGGGGCGCAACCTTTCTCAGGAAGTGTAGGCGTTGGGCAGCCTTTGAGGCCACGGCCCGGAGGTGTGCTGCGTAGGACAGTTGCGAGTCGAATGCTATGCCCAGAAGTTTAATTTCCTTCTCTTCAGGAACAGTCACTCCATTGAAGAGCACTGGTGGGAACGCTGGTGGAGGCTTGCGGTGGTCGATGATGAGGGCCTGAGATTTGGATGGCTCGAAGGTATGACGACTTGATCACGAAGACAATTGAACATGATAATTTTCAACGGTAACTCAAAGGGGAACTCCGGTCCAAAATCACCCCCATTTTTTTATTGCGGAATCCATTAGAGTATGTCGTAAGTGGTAGAATGGCGAAAACCGGAAGCTTCTACGACAAGGATAACATACCTAAATTACCAATTGCAATTTTCCATATTTGGCACGAGGGGGCCCCCGCCCACCCTGTGACGTAAAACGTTCTCAGTGACCTGCAAATATTTTTATTCAAATGCAGAAATTTTGAAAAGGTATTCACTGTTTTTCTTCAATCAATAACCCTTGTATTAGTATTCATTCGATCATCATGTTGGAGGAAGAGGAGACCACGGGAGGTGTGGAGGTGGACGCCACTTCGGATTCAACAACACCGAGGCCTTTTAGGTTCGAGCCGAAGCGCGCATCAGCGTCTGCGAAACTGTCTACAAGTAATATTTCTGAGACTACAAAACAGATGAACGTGAAGAGAACGCTTTGCCTTTGGTTGCAAGTGCTCGCGTGAGAAGAACTGCTTGATGCCGTTGCGGACAATGCAGCATGATGTGGAGCGAGGTCGAGTCGACTTGTTGCTGGGAGGTTCCTGCAGCTTTCAGTAAACGCGGCGAGCAGGAAGGGCTGCAGTGCGTCACGCAGCACTCAGAGTTTGCTGTTGTTTGCCTGCAAAAATCAGTGCTCGAGGTGGCATTGCTTTCCTTCGAAGAATTTCGGGCAAGGTGTGGACCGTGGTCAAACAGGTGAGGATTCACTGAATCGGTTTCATTATTTCCTTTCTTTCCATGTTTCATGTACCGGTACAAAGTAGATGGGAAGTGTTGTGCAATGATTTTGTGTACAGTATTCAAATTCACCAACTTCCATCACACAATCATGAAGTTCTATTGTACCCATGCCAATATAATTATACTGGTACAACGATGTCTTTCATTCATACTATTCCTAGCACTGTAAGTGTTTGAACTGTGTTGTGTGTGTGTAAAAGTGATGTAAATTTGAAAAAAGGCCAAAGTGTCTTTAGTATAGTAGCCCATAGAAATATTAATTCGAATCCGAAACTATTTACTTCGAAGTACACTGAAACTATTTACTTTTACACAATCATGAAGACACTCGTGGTATGTGTATCTACATCTCTCCAACTGTTTTGTGCAGGATTTGGAGACATGTGGTGTATAGACAATACACATGGTTCACCCATGGATACTTTGGACGCAAGCAGCGGCGTGTGATACCGTCTTGCGTGGTATCGAAGATAAAGCAGCTGTACCAGAAGCCAATGCAGATGCGCACTGGGGCTTTGAGGAAGCAGTTGGACATGATGATGATGATGATGATAATGCTTCTTGGCCTGGTTGACGTTCACATAATCATTGGTACATGTGCATGCAGAATGTAGAAAACAGTTGACAGACGCGATTAATAACTATTCTTGACTCAGGCAATATTTGTGTTCTCGGGTGGGCGCATGCTTTGCACCAATGCAGCTGCACGAACAATCTGGTAAAGTTGACAGATACAATGGCACAAGACTGTACTGTGTTCCGGAGCATGGGGTTGTGCTGGTGCCGTGTGCCGTTGCGAATGCCGAGAATGGTTGTATGCACATCGTTCAACAGGTCCTTCAAGAAGTTGCAGGACATTGTCGTGCAGCTTCTTGGCCACTTTGTGCTCTTGGTGTATTCCAGCCTGTACCTGAGCACACCCTCCTTGGTTTTGGCGTGCGCTCTCCCTATATTGGCATTGTGGGACAGACATGCCGACTGTACCCGTGCTCTCATGCCATTGTACGAAAAGTGGACACGTTTTGGTGCCCACTTCAATATGACAGCATGGAAATTTTCCAGACTACATATCATATTGTACCTTGTATTTGTGGCAGTGTAGCTGCAACCGGAAAGTAACGCAATGGAAACTTACAGATAAAGAGAACCGAAATAACACACATGATAACGTTCCATGTACATTACATCAATTCTCGACTTCACTGACTAGGATTTTGAGTAGAGGACTTTGAGTAGGACTGTAGTCGTTTAGAGCTACGTTCTGGACGGCACAAAATCATGCCGTTCACTTACCTCATCGTGCTCACGTTCCTGGAAGTAAATCGAAGATTGTCTGCTTTTGCTGGCAGCAGAGGTAGAGGAGCTACTAACTATTAGTGTGACATGCACCGCCAAGTTTCAGGATGGCAGAGACCCTGGCTTCAAGCGTCACTGCTGCTTCTGCTTATAGCCACCAATGCTTTGTGCAAACTCTTGTTGGAAATCTCTTTCATAGCACATCTCAGTGAAATGCTCAGTGCAGACACGATTATTTTTCGTCGGAGAAAAATCCTTCCAACATACTCTCGATCTCCATAGCCAAGCTGTCGTCAGGTTCGCGTCAGCCAGAGGAAAGCCATGCTACGACAGCCCGCAGGCGCCTCTTTCTTCGTGACATTGTTGCATCCAGAGACGCAGCAGCGAGTCGTGACAATAAATCGGGCATGGCACAGAACAACAAGCACGTCAACAATGGCCAAGGACTTTTCATTCTTGCTTCAATTATTTGAAAATTTCATCTGAGTGGACCGGGCTGAGAACGTTTTACGTCACAGGGTGGGAGGGGGCCCCCTCGTGCCAAATATGGAAAATTGCAATTGGTAATTTAGGTATGTTGTCCTTGTCGTAGAAGCTTCCGGTTTTCGCCATTCTACCACTTACGACATACTCTAATGGATTCCGCAATAAAAAATGGGGGTGATTTTGGACCGGAGTTCCCCTTTAAATTGGGCAATAAAAAAATCTTTTTACAAAGAAGTCAACTAATGAATAGAAGTAATGTTTTCTCTTTGTTGTACTTATGGTCACTTGCAAGTACGAAAAGGCACAATTTTCCGAATGTGGAGGCTCCATAAGTACAACAAAGTGAATATGTAACTGTTCCGTTTCTAAACTGGCTATACTTGACTGTGTGGATTGCGTCGGTGATGACACTTTTTTCAAGACTTTGTAGTGGATTAGCACTTTCTTAGCACGCACTTTATCTGTATTTCTAACTTTCGTTTTGTAACCTTCAGCACTTGTCGTACGCTTCCAACGCCTTTTATCCGTCACTTCAAATTGGCAACATGGAGCCCCTCACACGTCTAACGAAGTGCGCTATCCGCGGCTTCTTCGGTCTGCCACCGTGGTCGCGCACGAGCCCGATCTTTGAACAGCTCCGCCTCACCACCCTGGAGGACATGTTTAACATTAAGCTCCTCATCTTTGTCCGTCGTTGTCTGTTCTCCCGAGCTAGCTCCCTCTTCACAAGCTTCTTCGTGAGAGTTACTGGTGACCGCACTCGGGGAGCAGCACATCACCTCGTTCGAGTACCATTTTGGCCCGGTCCTGCGGGTCGAGCGACCATGCAGTTCATCGGCGCAGTCCTGTGGAACCAGCTCCCGCCTGATCACCGTTCCGAGCCCAGCCACCTTCAGTTCTGTGCCCTGCTAAAAGTGCATCATGGCTCCGTTTAAATGCTTTTCGGCGAGTGCGTTTCTGTGGTATAGCGGACTGAAGAATAGTAAACGTGTTTTGCAATATATGTATGAAGCTATTTTGTATAGTATGTTCCCATTCCGTTTTTGCTTTGGTGTAGCCCTGAGGTTGATTGCTTATTTATTTCTACCCTTCCTCTCTCCATACTTCTGTCCCCCCCTCTCTCTCATTCCTTCTGTCGTCCACATGTATCAAAGGAGGCGAAATCGCCCTGTTTGTGGTGCGACGTTAAATAAACTTCTACAACAACACTTTCTCTAGGTGTCTATTCTCTTTGGTTGCTTTTATACTGTACTTCATTTCTGTTGCATTGTTCATTCGTTCAACGATGATTCCTGACGAGTGTTGAACGAAAACTTGTTCGAATCTTTCTCCATTGTTACCTTCATTATTGCATATCCTTTCCTTTTGTGTTTCTCCACATTCCATCCATCGATTGACAACGTTTAATAAATAACCGGGCACATGTTCATCCAACTAGTTCTCCTTATTGCTATTCTGATATTGTTGTCTCCTCGCCGTTTGTTTTTAATATCTGTACTGAGTGTAAAACATCACACACACACACACACACACACACACACACACACACACACACACACACACACACACACACACACACACACACACACACACACACATCCACACACACACACACACACACACACACACACACACACACACACACACACACACACACACATACACATACACACACACACACACACACTCACACACACACACATCCACACACACACACACACCACACACTAGCCCTTTCCCAAAGGTGCTCGCCCCTTTTTCCGCCCTTTTGGCCTTTTTGGAAAAGCCCGTTACTTTCGCCCTTTATTGCCATTTTGGAGAATATCGCCCTTTTTTTTTAGCTTTTTTAGCTGAAAAAGTGCTAAAATTTGTTTGCTCATGCATGCGATCACAGTTTCCGAGTGCTCGATGAGCCTTGGCACGCCATTATTTTGGCGCAACAAGTTGGTGAAGCTTGTACGCGGTGTAAACAATGCTGTAAAAAGTGGGTTTTTACGAACTTTACTTCCTATTTTGCCTTTCGTGATCCATAAATGAAAGAAAGCGTATTCATTTCTCAGCTTGGGGTCATATCTGAACATGTATCATGGCTATGCTTCACTGAAAAAAGAGCACTTTTGCCTGTTTTCACTGAAAAAGAGCACTTTTTCAGCATATTTTGAGGGACGCGAAAAGCACTAAGTGCGAATTAAAAGAGCACCTTTGGGAAAGGGCTACCACACACACACCTTTGCCCTTTGACCTTTGACGCCCATCGCCGGAGGCGATGATAGCAATGCTACGGCAGAAGCCATAGCAACTTGTGCTGGGATTGCACCATTCAACAGCTTGCAAGGCTGAACACACACACACATACACCTCAGACCTCAGACCTCAGACTTGCCCATCGCGGAAGCGATGATAGCGAACAGCTATGTTAGACATAGCAACTTGTGCTGGGATTACACCATTCAACAGCTTGCAAGGCTGATGAATTGACCGCCACTAATTTTGGCCTGGTATCCACCACATAGCTGATTGAAGCGGCATACACACATACACACACACACACACACACATTTGTGTAGTATCCCTGCCCGACCAATACGGAAGTAGTACGGAACTAATATGGAGCTCTGCCTGATGTATAGTTAGTGTATCTCCGTATATAAGCGTACGGCGTCTGCTGCATAAAAGCTGCCGCGCATTTCTGTTAAGATGAGATTTTGATAATAACGAGCTGTTCGGTCACGGAATCTGGACTCCAAAGAAGACTGTATTTATTTCTGTTCTTCGTAACTGAACGAAAATCTCTAGACTAATAGTATGCACACATCATCGTGCCTTGGCACGGACATACCAACTCTGCTATTGTCCTCTCTCCAGGACCAAAAAACTCTGCTTTCCAAAGAGACAAAAAAAAACTCTCTCCTCTCCAAAGTGAAACTCGTACTATAACCAAAAAGCACAGCTGATAAAGCGAACAGACGTACAGCCAATCAGCAAACCAGTTCCGTCATATGATCCGGCAGGTATTGCATGCCATGCATGTACTAGATTAATGCTACGGTACAGACAATCGCATGTCTAGACAGGTCCTAACAGTGTCTAGTCAGTACTAGCATCATGCTCACATGTGCCGGGTCAGCACACAATACATCGACCTTGCAAACGGTAACCTACGGGATCTACTCGAACATATCCCCCTCTCACACGAGGAGAAAACCACACTAAAAAAAAAAAAAACAATCCGAGTGTGACACAACTACATAATCATGTCCATCACTGTTACTCATTTCCAACTGGCAAAGGAACGAGATGATGGATGGCACGTTGCAGGATCTTGCCTCCAATCTTGACGTCCACGACGCGCACCTTGTTGTCCTTTCCTGGGAAGGTCTCCATAATGCGACCCAATGGCCACTCTCCGCGCGGAGTGCCGGGACTCATCCACATCACCACGTCACCCACCTTCAAGCTCTTCTTGGCCTGGCGCCAGCACTTCCGGAGGTTCAAGGATGGTAGAAACTCTCTTTTCCATCGCTGCCACACTTCGTCTACTAATCGCTGTACTGCCGCCCATCTCTTCCGCTGATGCTGATGCTCACCAAGCACCGTCACTTCCTTGGCCAGAGGCGCATCCATACGTCCCACAAGGAAATGCTGGGGAGTGAGGGCTGATCATCCTGAGCATCATCTGAGACTGTAGTCAGCGGACGAGTGTTGAGGAGATGCTCTGCTTCAATCAGTGCGGTCAGCAACTCCTCGTCGGTAAGCGAAGCATTAGCGAGTACTGTGGTGATGGCACGCTTAGCAGCTTTCACAACAATTTCGAATACTCCTCCGAAGTGGGGTGCTCGCGGAGGATTGAACCGCCACTCTATTCCTTCATGAGCGAATTTCCTGCTGACTTGCGTGCGATCAATGGCTTCGCTCGCCTCTCGGAGCTCTCGCTCGGCAGCTGTAAAGTTCGTGCCGTTGTCCTACACCATGATGGACGGAGTGCCGCGACGCTTGATGAATCTGGAGAATGCCATCAGGAATGCTTCTGTGTCCAAAGAGAAGGCCATCTCCAAGTGGCATGCTCTGGTCTCCAAACAGGTGAAAACGCACATGTACCGCTTCTGCTGCGCTCGACCACGCCCTTGCTTTGTGTAGAACGGTCCTGCGTAATCTACTCCACATCTGGTAAATGGTTTGAGAGAACCACACGTGCGATGGTTGGGTAGCGGTCCCATGATCTGCTCCGCAGCCTTACTCATCAGTCGGCTGCATGTAACGCATTGTGCACGTACACTTTTGATCGCTGATGTACCATGTACAATCCAGAATCTCTGTCGTAGGTTGGACAGCAGGTGCTGGGTTCCGACACCATGGCAACAGAGGTCGTCTTCGCGCTGGATGAGTAGCGTAGTGACTCGGTGACGCTGTGGTAGGATCACTGGCTGGCGAACACCAACAGCAGGGCCTGCTGGAGAGCCGGGTCAGCCGGGTCACGCGCCCGGCTGGAGACCTGCACGACCTGGCTGAACAGATACCACCGGGTCCAGTCTGACCCGGCTGAAAATGTCTCAAACTGACAATGGATTCCTAAAATACCGGTATTTTACGACTCGCGGACCCCATCTGTTGCAAATCTAGCGCAACCATACCACACACTGTCTACAAGCGACAGAAACTCGGCTAGGGTCAACTGGGGTCAACTGGTTCAAGCGCGATCTGGCCAGCGGCGAGCAGGAAGTCAGGACATTCAAAGTCGATGGGGCAGGCAGTCAAAAGCGTAACTTTGGATAGCTTTTGACACAGTTGCAAGTTTTCAGCCGACTGGTGATTCGGACGATGGAGCCCGCAGCGAAGAGAAAAAGAACTCACGCTTTCCAAGACTCTTGGAAAAAGGTCGACCCAGGCTGGACTAAGACCATGCCAGTCTATCCATGTCATGCGCTTTGTGTGCAAGACGCATTTCCAAAGGAAGACGAGCGGCGGTGGATTTGGTCGTTCGTCCTGCTACTAGCACTAATTAGAAAACAGAATTCCTTTTTTCAAATTGTTAAATCAGAATCCAATGGAACTGCTTTGCATTCTTCACGTAATGTCGTTTACCTAGTACGTTTGCGGACTTTGATAGTTCGCCTTGTTCTCTATAAAATGTCCGATTTCCGGTGATAAATACGCCTTTCTGTTTTGCTGCGTTTTGAGCAGGCTTTTTGGTTGTTTTTCTGCCGGATGATCTGACCCGGCTTGACCCGGCTGGCCTGCATGCGCTAGGTACACTCTGACCGGGCTGTGTTGAATGTCTAGAGCAGGCCCTGCAACAGGTAGGTTGACAGCATGCTTCAGTCGTCCGTTGACGACCATGAGAGCAGGGTGTGACGTCGCATCCAGGACCGCGTTGAGCCGGTAGAGAGGGTCAGATGGTGGTAATTCCTCACCTGCCCGTAAGCGCTTAAGCGTGGCTGGGTACGCTGACAGCTGAGCTTGTGCAAACCAATGTCGTTCGGCTCCTGCTACTTCTGCTGCCGTCAGCACCGGTACTGTCACTACTGATCTTGGCTTATGACCGCTTGGTAAACGGACATAGACTAGTGGGACACTGGTGTTGGCGGTGTCGACGTGGGTTTCCCCCCTCGTGACTGTCGCAGTCTGCCGTCGGGCATTTTGTACGAACCGTAAGCACCAGGCAGTCACCCTGGTAAGACGCTCCCACGTCGAATATGTGGCAGGATCTAGTCGAGATGGCGTCACCTGGCTGGCGAATGTCATACATGGCTTCTTCTTCAGCTCACCAGGTAGTTGCGGAGGGGTAGCAAGCTCCACAAGCGGCCACTCTGTCTCCGGTCTGGTCAGGAAGTCCGGACCACTCCACCATGTGTGACGTCCAACGAGGTCCAGCACTTTCATACCTCGAGATGGGAAGTCGGCTGGGTTGAGGACTCCTGGTACGTGTCTACATTGGCTAGCTTTGGTGTCGGCTTGAATCTCACTGACCCGGCAGGCGACATCTGAAGTGAAGTTCTTGGCATGGCTCCTCACCCAGTACACGACGTTGAGGGAATCGGTCCAGAACACATGTTCAGCAACAGGAATAGCGAGGGCTTGGCTGACAACTTTGCTGGTGCGCAGGCCAAGTACTGCACCTCGCAACTCCAACTTAGGGATGGTGACTTTCTTGATAGGGCTTGAAAGTGATGACGTCAAAACGGCCAGGGAGTAGTAAGTTCACATCAGATTTCTACTTTTGGATCCACTAAGGTGTGACTTTGCTATTGCCTCAGTATGTGGGTACATAGCAACCCACTCATGTCGTATGCAGGTGTGACTTTTACTTCGCCACCAGTTGTCACCCCGCCCCCACTAGCCAAATCAGTCAGTTTCACTGGCTACATCACCTTGCTGTGAGTAAGACCGCTTGAAATGTGCTTGGATCCATACAAAACTGGATCCAAGTGGATCCAATTTTTGAATTTTTGAAATTGTTGCTATGCTGTGACGTAGCACTTTCAAGCCCTATTGGGGTTGCCCGCGCCTTGGCGAATGCAAGGCTGACCTTCACAAAACCATCCGGATACGCCGCGCGGACATAACTGACAGCTGAAGTGGCGTGCGCCGAGGCATCGGTGAAGGTATGTACTGTGAGCTTCGCGGTGTCAGCCTGGCGCTCCATGCTTTTGAAGCATCGTGGCACTTTGATCCCAGCTAGATCTGGTAGTTCTGCAAACCACCTCTGCCACTTGCTCTCCAGCTCTGATGGGAGACGGTCATCCCGGGAACAGCCGAGAATGCATGCCTCCTGGAACAGCAGTCGAGCCCTTATCGTAAACGGCGAAATATGCCCTCTTGGGTCATAGATGCTGGCCATCTTGGATAGGACGCTTCGTTTCGTCAGCCGCTGGTCGTCCGGTGTGTTGTAGCGATAGCTGAACGTGTCAGACGCTGCGTCCCACACGACACCAAGCGTCTTCACAACTGCAGCTGATGCGGCGTCGCTGCAATCATCGATGCTCACCAGTGCGTCGGCTGCTCGGTCGGCCTCCGGGATAGAACGGAGCACGTCACGGCTGTTACTGCGCCATTTCCGCAGGTGAAACGAGCCCATGTGGAGCAGGTCCTGCACCCCCTGCCGTACTGAGATGCCGGCTGGTACTGATGGTTGTGAGTTCAGGAAATCGTCAACGTAGAACGATTCCTCGACCGCTGCTCGGGCTGCTGAGTCGTACTGTTCCCCATGCTGTGCGGCTACCTCCCTCAGAGCTCGGCAGGCGATGAACGGTGATGCCTTCAGTCCGAACACGAGCCGAGTAAACTCGTAAATGGATGGTTGCTCGTCTGTCGACTTGCGCCACAAGAAGCGTACGTACCGCCGATCTTGCTGTTGTAGCTGGACCTGCAGGAACATCTCTGCAATGTCTCCTACGATCGCAACCGGTTCACGGCAGAACCTGAGTAGGACGTGAATCAGGTCATGTTGCAGTTTCGGACCAGTGTACATCTCATCATTGAGAGACACACCCCGCTGACGAGCCGCTGCATCGAAGACAACCCTCACTTTCGTGGTCGCCTTGTCGTGGCGCACGACAGGAAAGTGCGGTAGTAGCCATTGGTCACCGTCTCTAGCGGCACTATCCTCACAGCGGACCACATATCCCTTGTCGATGTATGATTGGAAGACTCTGTCGTACTCTGCTTGGATGTCCGGCTTCTTGAGAAGAGATCGCTCGAGGCTGATCAGCCGCTTCTCTGCCATGGCTCGGTTTGGCGGCAGCTGTGGCTGGTGGTCTGGCCGAATCCAAGGGATGCCTGTCGTGACACGACCATCAGTGATTTTCATCCTGTCAGCCACGAGGTGCTCTGCTTCTATCTCAGCCATCGTCTTGTCAGATTGTGGTTGCATGCCCACCTGGTCATCCTCCCAGAACTTAGCGACCAGTGTATCGAGCAATGGCTCACATACTGCAGATGCGTGCAGCGTGCACTCGGATGTGGCACCCGTCGGCATGTCCACCGGCCCAAAGCAAACCCAGCCGAGTGGTAGACGGCGTGCAATGGGCTCTCCCGCGCGCCCAGTGGCCTCCTCCAGCACTCGGTGTACATCAATGACATCGATACCAATCAGGATGTCTATCTGCCGCGAGTCGACCTGTGGTAGCGGTAGTTGCTAGAGGTGGGGGAATTGTTGGCTCATCTGATGCCAGTCAACGGCCGGTAGCGGAGTTGTGATGTCGGGCTGGGTCCATGCTTGGAACGCCGTGCTGTAGTCACCATCATGACTGTGGATGGTCAGGTTGACTCTCTGCCGGCGGCCTGTTACTGTCGTTCCGCCTAGGACTGAGGTGGTGAGCTGCTCATCTGGCCCGCTGACACCCAAGCTCTCAGCAACGTCAGCCCTGATATAGCTGGTCGATGATGCCGAGTCGATCAGTGCCACTGCATCATATGTCTGGTCTTGGTGTTGCAGCTTGACTGGCACAGTCATGAATGCAACATGGACCCGGTGTTAGCGGTGCAGGTGGTTGCTGTGGCCGTCGCTGCTGTGTCGGATGGACGCTGTGGCTTCTCACGTAATCCACCGCCTCGCTGTGGACTGTCCAGTCGATTGCTTTGATTCATGCTGGCTGGCTCTTTGTCCGTCTTCCTGCTGTAGCTCTGCTGTTGTCTCACAATGTGGAGCATGTCATGGTGTTTTCCACCGCACTTAGCACATGGGTTGCTCCTGCACTCAGCAGAACGATGGCCAGCAACGCGCAGGCAGCAGGTACACACATTCAACGGCTTAACGAATTTCCACCTGTCTGCTGTTGACAAGGTGGCAAATGCCCGGCAGTCAGCTAAGCCGTGGCCCTCTCCGCACTTCTTGCATCTGGCCTTTGGCGTCTCATTTCCTGCTGTAGTTGCCAACGTTCTATGTGGTCGATGATCGTGTCGGCTCTGTGACTTCTGCAGCACTGCCGTTGATGTGGGTGTCTTGTGGGTCTCTGCCTGCCTCTCCTCTACCTTCCCCAGCATATGAACCAGATTCAGTAGCCAGTCTGCAAAGTTGCAAACATCGCAGCTCCGGTCCTCGTGCAGCTCAAAATACCTCAGCAGGAGGGTCGGTGGTATTTTCTGGGTTGCTGCTAGGTACAGTTCACGGCCGGGAGCAATGCCACACGACTTCATGTTGACCAGGGTACTCCGCAGCTTTAGAGCAAACTTCTTTAGCTTGTCGGTGGCTTTAGCGTTGTCAATCTTGGGCCACGTCAGGATATCTTTCTCGTGACGCTCAAGTTGTCGCTCCTCACCGCCATACCAGGCTTCTATTTCCACCAATGCTGCTTGAAAGGCGCCTGTTCCGTCCATAATGTCCTGGACGAGTTCCTCGGCACTCCCTCCGGCGAGTGACTCTCTCAGTCTCGCCATCTTGTAGTGCTCAGTTGTGTGGGGGTCTGTTCCCACCAAACTCATGAATTTCTGTCTCCAAGGGACATAGTTCACTGGCGCTCCGTCAAACTGCGGTAGCTTCAACGGCTTCAAATGGGATCTGTATGTCCCGGCATGAGGGTAAGCAGCTGGTGATGTATATGGACGTTGTCCATCTGGCTGACTATACTGCGTAGCCAACTGACTCTGTGCAGCTGCTGGTGCACTTTGCTGCTGTACATACGGTGAGTAGAAAGTAGTTGCAGGATTCTGGCTGCTGGCTGTGGGTCTGGCTGATTGACCGCTTGCACTCACTACTCTGGCCTGTCCAAGCTGGCTAGGCACTTTCTGCTGGACTGTGTAGCTACTTGGCTGCACTTGAGATGTCACAGCAGGGTGATACTTCTGGTTAGCTGGTGTCTGATACTGTGGGCCTTGGGGCAGTTGTGGCTTCAGACTAGTTGTGGTGAATGGTGCAAAGCTGGACTGCACAGTGACCGTCTCTCCTGGTCTGTGTTGTGCGTTGTTACTAGTATTAGCCACAGCTAGTACTCACCTACTCTCCCCTGACTCACTTGTGAGGTCTGCATTCGCCACTAAGGTGTGCAAGGCATAGGCATAGTGGTGGCCTGCGGAAGCGAAGGCTAGTTTGTGTGTTTCTGAACATTCAAGCGATGCCAACGCGAATCCCGCGAATTATTATTATTATTAGTACTGGGGCAAAACTGTTACTCTGCAACACAGGATTCACTGCACTATCACCAGACATACCTGCATGTACTTGACTGCCGCTAGCGCTGTCGCTGCTCACTGGACCATCAATGACAATGGACTGTGCATGTGTCACTGTGGATGGCAGTCCGTCACTTCGACCAGCTTCCACTTCCACCGTTCTGGTCTTACTTGGTAGCCAGCTCTGGGGACTTCTTCGTTCCACATCCACAGCACTCATGCATGGAGGCAGACTACCAGCTGGTGTTTGTCTTGGCTTGGTCGGCTGGATGTCAACTGCGTCCACCACGCTGAAGGCGCGCCCTGCTCTCCCAGACTCTGCGCTGGTAATTTTGAGCTTCTCAAGGAGTTGATGATGGCGCACGAGTGCTTCTGTCGTGAGCCCTTGTCCAACACCTGCGTGGGACAGTCTCCGTGCACTTTCATCTCTCCGACTCCTGCGGCTGCTCGCGGTGGAGCCTTTCTCTGAGAGCTCCAACTCCAGCGCTGCTCTGTCTGCAGCCAATCGCTTGGTCACCAACTCTCTGTTGAGTTCCAATCTCTTTTCGACCGCCTCAGCCTCCAGCTGGACTAATTCCTCAGCAGCTTGCAACTCTCTCTCGCGTATCCTGGCCGCGAGTTCCAGTTCGGCTTCCTTACTGGATTTCTTGGAAACTTGGGAGACACTATCCCACTCTCCATATCGCGAAGGAGGCTTACCCTTCGTCGACCTGACGCTCGTTCTTTTTTCCATCGACTCCGATTACTGCCTCGGACTCGAATCCGGCTCGAAGGACCAGTTGTTCGGTCACGGAATCTGGACTCCAAAGAAGACTGTATATATTTCTGTTCTTCGTAACTGAACGAAAATCTCTAGACTAATAGTATGCACACATCATCGTGCCTTGGCACGGACATACCAACTCTGCTATTGTCCTCTCTCCAGGACCAAAAAACTCTGCTTTCCAAAGAGACAAAAAAAAACTCTCTCCTCTCCAAAGTGAAACTCGTACTATAACCAAAAAGCACAGCTGATAAAGCGAACAGACGTACAGCCAATCAGCAAACCAGTTCCGTCATATGATCCGGCAGGTATTGCATGCCATGCATGTACTAGATTAATGCTACGGTACAGACAATCGCATGTCTAGACAGGTCCTAACAGTGTCTAGTCAGTACTAGCATCATGCTCACATGTGCCGGGTCAGCACACAATACATCGACCTTGCAAACGGTAACCTACGGGATCTACTCGAACACGAGCTACTCAACCTCCAGGTGTGCACCGGAGAGAAAGTCAGTTATTCCCGTAGCTATGCAGAAGACGTTACTTCAGTAACGTCTGGCGCTAGCCAGGGTCCACACAGCTTTAATTTGGTGTTTGTGTGTTTGTGTGTTTGTGTGTTTGTGTGTTTGTGTCACGCCTGGAGCTACCGTATCTGTCCCGTATCTGTCCCGTATCTGTGATTTGGTGTTTGTTTGTTTGTGTGTGTGTTTGTGTCACGCCTGGAGCTACCGTATCTGTCCAATAAAAAAATATCTGTGATTTGGTGTTTGTTTGTTTGTGTGCTTGTGTCACGCCTGGAGCTACCGTATCTGCCCCGTATCTGTGACTACAAAGGTTCTACAGGATTGTACATAACAGCTTGCCACAAACAGCTGGCCACAATATTCGTCGTATTATGTATACGACTCCCTGATATAGAGGGAGATTTGGAAAGAAAATTAATAGGGAGACGAGGAGGAAATAAAATTAGAATGGACGCTAGTTGCGGAATAGGTGATAGGATGAATCAGCAAAAACAGACTTTAGAAGAGAGATACTTTGGAAGAGAGATCCCGTCGTCTCCAAAGTAATCGTGAACGGGCGATTCAGCGCCGGTCACAGGAAACGTCGGAAGAGAGATCCTGTCGACTCCAGAACGCCCGTGATCGGCAGAGTCAGCGCCGGTCCCAGGAAACGTCAGGACAGACGCAGAATCGACTCCGAAATAAGCGTGAACGGGCGATTCGCCGCCGGTCACAGGAAACGTCGGAAGAAAGATACCGTTGAGTCCAGAACGCCCGTGATCGGCAGAGTCAGCGCCGGTCACAGGAAACGTAAGGACAGACATCTCGTCGACTCCAAAATAAGCGTGAACGGGCGATTTAGCGCCGGTCACAGGAAACGTCAGAAGAGAGATCCCGTCGAGGCCAGAACGCCCGTGATCGGCAGAGTCAGCGCCGGTCACAGAAAACGTCAGGACAGACATCAGGACATTTTTTGCCTAGCTCATCGTACATGTTACTCTATAGAACTGATGGAAATGTTTTTTTCCGTTAATTGGCTACATCATTGTATTGCAAAAACGTTTCAATCAGTTTGAATATGAGTTAGGCAAAAGTATTTGCAGATTTTTTTGCGGATTGTTATCTTTCTCTCACTTCATCCGCTTTTGGTTTGCTCCTTCTTTTCCTTTTTATCTCCTTATAATCGGATTTTCTGGCCTTTTTACATTAAAAGCATAGCGTAGGGCCCTGAGCTTCCAAGCTCTCTCGTTTTGCCGCTTCTTCTTTCACTAATAATTATATTTCAGGTGTGTACCTGAAAGAAGTAGAATAAAACGAACTCTTGTTGATTTCACCGGGCCTACCACTCGGCTACCCATTACATTGGTGGCAGCGGTGTAGTTTTAAATAAAACAACGTGATTCGACCCCAGACCCCCATGGCTCAACCCGCTGCAGCTCCCTGCGACGAATCAAGATGAGAATCATGTTTCTTGCCTTTCTGGGCTTAGCCCTGCTTATTAGCTTGCAGCACAGTCAGGGTGCTAGCGTGGATCACCCTTCCCTCCGCATGGCATCCACTGGAGACTCCGATGGCGATTCCAAGCGACCCACTACCTAC